TAGTTGTTTATGTACGTGCGGGCCATGTAAGTTTACATGGCGTTCTTGCGTTATTTTACATGGCTGCGTTTTGCCTGATAAAACACATGGTTTTGCGCCCCCACAACTATTTATAGCTCATTTCTATGTAATTTTACATGGCCCTCTTTTGCAGGTAACAGCTATTGCCAACTCGCTGGTGCAACTATTGTCTGGCGGGGGCTCGAGGTCAGCCCTGGCTGGCTCGGGGCGCGCCTGAAGGGCTTCGGTCACCGCCCCAGGCCCCCCCTCATCTATCCTTATCCCCGGCAGATTCAGCGACCAAGTATTTTTCTAAACGGCACCCCTGGGCGGAGCGGGGGCAGCCATTGCGGAGTTCCAGGATGTCAAGTGATTTTGGGAGCACCTGGAGCACCCGCGACAGATTCGCTCTAATAGCGGGCGCGGTGGGCGTTGAGTTTGCGATTCTCGGGGGCGCCCGAGCGCCCGCCAGGAAGCGCCCGCGCGGCGCCCGCCGCGCCTGCGCGCACTCTATTGCGGGCGCTTCGGGGGCGCCCCTAAGTCTCCAGGGGCTTCTCGGATAACATATTGTTTCATCGATGTCTCAGCCCCGTGCACCGACCACTTTTTGGGACAATGAGTGGCCGGCCATATTTTTTTCCCAGAATGTGGTCGCCCCGACTTGGAGAGACTCTCGTCCTGGTGCTCGCCCTTCGGATCTCGGCCAGGACGCCCTCCTGAAGTGCATAATGATGCAGGTCCAGCGGATGTCGGCACAGGACCACGTCGACATGTCCAGCAGCGTCCGGGCGGCGGTCGACTCAATGGGCGCTGAGTTCGACTACGGCACTCTCTGGTCAGGCGACGAGGTGACGTCGCAGATCCTGAGCCGCGTCTTTTTGTTCCTCCAGTCTCAGTTCGGCGTCGTGTTTGCCCCGTCTTTGAAGTACGTGTGCGAGATCAACGAGACGCGGCGTCAGTTCATCATCGACCACGCGCATCCAGTGCAGGCGTTCTCAGATGGGCTGGCGCTCTCAAACAACAAGTGGGTTGGCACCAACTGCGTGACCTCGGCGGAGGGCGTTCCCATGGTTCGCACTCGGTTTCTTTTCGCTGGCTTCGAGTGCGACAGCGTCTCGGGCCTCTTCACTTCGGGCGAGGGCCGGGGCTCCATGAGTGAGTGCGTTGCCGACGCAGCGGGGCGCACAGGCAAGACGGCCAAAGCTACGATCGCATGGATTATAACATCCAGGCCGTGGTTATCGATCTTGGAAAACGTCAAGACCATTGGCCAGAGGAACCTCAAAGCGCTCATCGCCGGCTTGAACAAACACGGGTTTCACGTGGAGTACATGCAGCGGGAGGCGGAGAAATGGGGGTCCCCTGAGAGACGCACGCGGAGCATCATGCTCGTGACCCCCGTGGCCGAGACGGAGATCGACCAGTTCGCCGAGGGTTTCGTCCCGCCTGCTTGGTTGCTCGACTTCCACGCGTTCATGAATCGTATCCAGATACCAGCCCTCTCGATTGAAGATGTCCTTCTTCCCGACGACTCCCCGCTGCTCCATTCGTTATCGGCCTCGATCAACGCTGAGAGGGCTGCGCGGGAGGCCGCTCTGGATTCGAACAAGGCGAAGCGCTCGAAGAAGTGCCCCGCCGTCTCTGAGAAGCCGAAGGCTGATAAAAACCTATGGGAGTCGGATCACCTCGAGACCTACCGCCAGGCGGGGATGACTTGGCACCCCAAGTGGTCAGCTGACGACCCCGATCACGCAGAGTTTCTGAACGCCACCGAGGCGATGTCGGACCGCATGCGCGAGGTGGCATGGTATCACAAGGTGCAGTGCGCCAAGGATGGCGTCCCGAAGAGTGTGATCTACGACCTGAACATGAGCATCGGGTGGGTCGCGGTGGGGGCCAACAAGTTCCCCACGATCACCTGCTCCAGCGTGATGTACGTGAACAGGTTCATGAGCGAGATTGCCAACCGCAAGGCCAGCCGCGCTGCGCTAGGCGACTCGGCGTGCTAATTGGCGGTTGCTGGAGGGCGAGATCGATCGGGGGCGACGGCGGCGAGGGGGGCACGGGCGGGGGGGAAGGGCGAGGAGAGCGAAGGGCCAATCGGAACCAGGATCAAGATCAGGATCAAGAAAAAAGATCAGGATCAGGAGATCCAGATGATAAGAGACAGTCGGATCAAGGATCGGGGTCACGATCGGGGTCAGGTTCGGGGCGATGGGCGAGTAGACAGCGAGTGGCGTGGCGCCACTTGCTATTGGGCCCTCTCGGGGCCCTGGTGGACCCCTCTCGGGGCCATCTGGGCCCATCCTGGACGAGCTTCGAGGCTCGGGCGGCCCCCGAGGGGGCTCCGAGTAGACCCCGAGGTGGCCCGAAAGCAAGTGGCGTGGCGCCTGAGATGGCCCGAAAGCAAGTGGCGTGGCGCTTCTTGCTTGCGGGCCATCCCGGTCCGTTATGAGCCCCGCCTGGGCTCATCTTGCGTGGGATTCTGAAGCTCGGAGGGGCCCCCAAGAGGGCTCCGAGTGGGCCCCGAGGTGACCCGGAAGCAAGTGGCGGGGCGCAACTTGTTGTTGGGCCCCAGGGATTATTTCGGGGCTCTCTCGAGACCTCCTCGTGCCCCTCCTGGGGCATCCCCTCGGACTCGGAACTCTGATCCAAACCCGCCGCGGACGTCGGAGAGGTGCGGAGGGCGGGATGCTTCGGTCCGCCCTCGCAGGCCTCGAGTTGATGGCAGCGCAGGGCTTTCCCTGGTGCGCGTGCTCGGTGATGAACGTTTCGAACCGGGACGCTACTGAGATGGCCGGAAATCAATTTAACGGCTTCTTTTTCGGTGCATTGTGCTTGGCCATCTTCAAGGCCTTCCCCTTCGCCGAGTTCGGCGAGCGCGCGCGCGCGCCCACCCCGTGCACGCAGGTGCCCGTTGTGCAGATCGAATTGGAGGACAGCAGCCAGGATGTTCAGAATTCGCAAGGCTCCGACTTGGTCTTCGCTGAGGACCTCAGCCAGCCCGCGAACACCCAGGAGCTCAGCTTGGACATGGGCAGCTAGGCCACGATTGTAGACTGATCAGATCGTTTACAGATAAGGTGGCTGCTCAGCTGGCGCCTCTTCTCCGACAAGGTTCGGCATCCTCGACGCGGCGGCAATTGTGCCTCTGTGGTTGCCTGGAACACGGCTCTCCCCTCCAGGGTTTTCAATTCGTGGGTTATAGTTATCTCCTGCTTTGGGCTTCAACCCTCGAGAGAATACTTCCCGCCCCCTGTTGGCCATCGGGGTGATGGCGCTCTCGTCGCCGCTGCTGGGTTTACCTCGGGCGCTCTTGAGGGGCCCTCTTGGGTCCCTCTTGGGACTCTCTGGGGGGGGGGGCATCTTGGCTCCTCGAGAGCCCATCGGAGGGCTCGGAGGGCAATTGGAACCGTCTTAGGGCCGTCCTGAGGCCTTCTGGATGCGCGTTGGAGACTATCTTGAGTCATCTTGAGGTATCTTGGGCGATCTTGGAGGCCATCTTGGGATAGCTAAAGCCCGATCGAAGCTATCTTGGGCCATCTTGGACGCTCTGACCCCCCGCGGGGGAACCCGCCCAGGCCCGGGGATGGGGGGGGGATGAACCTCCAGAGCAGGGAATGGAAGGAGGTTCGAACAGGAAGCGCTTTAGACCACCTGCGCCCAGAGGGCTGGCGGGGTTTGGAGCCTCCAGGCAGGCCCGCGGCATGCGGCGTGCTTTGGAGCCCTTTGACTTCGCCTTGGGTCTTGGGCTTATCCTATAATGACGCGGCACATCCCAAAACAGCATGCTCTTTTTTGTGGTTCCGCGCGGCAGATCTCCAACAACATATAGTGTGGTTTTGCATTCCGCGTGTGCGCCCCCCTCTGGGGCCCCTCATGGGCCCTCTCAGGGGCCTTTTCGTGCCCTCTTGGACCCTTCCCCATGCTTTCGCAAGGGCCCAGGAGGGCCCCTCGGAAGCCTCCAACGGAACCTACGAGTGGCAAATCCCTTAAACATATGCATTGTTTTGCGCCGCCGCGTGGTGAATCCCTTAAACCATATTTTGTCGTTTTGGATTCCGCGTATGGGTCCCCCTCTGGGGCCCCTCATGGGCCCTCTCGGGGGCCTTTTCGCGCCCTCTTGGACCCTTCCCTAGGCTTTCGCGGGGGCCCAAGAGGGCCCATCAGAAGCCTCCAGCGGAACCTACGAGTGGCAAATCCCAAAAACACATTGTTACTTCTTGTGATTCCGCGTGGCAAATCCCCAACGCATATTTTGTTGTTTTGGGTGCCGCGTGAGGTGCTGACCTCATTGCCACTTCGTGGCAGGATGGAGTCTGCTTCCCTGGCCGCTCTCGCGATCATGGTCGGGGAACTGTTTTGTGGGTGGGGCTCCCCATGGCCAGAACTTTGAGGCTAGTTCGGTTTTGTTCGTGGTAGCGCGAATGCTGCTCCGTTTGCTAGCTCGTCTTGCTAGAGGCGCCTCCAGGTTAGCGTTCCATTCTCTTCTTCTGCAGTGACGCTGATGGGCGATCTCCCCGAGCTCCCCTCGACCCGCAGCGCCGCGGGGTCAGCGGCGGGCTCTGCGGTGGATGAGCCAGCCCGCAGCGCCGCCGCGAAGAGGCCAGGAAGCAAACATGATGAGGAGCCGTGCGCTAACGGGAGGCGGTAGCGTTGAAACGTTGCGGGCGTCTTGAGTCACCGGGCGGCTTGGCGCGCGCTCGCCCCGGCCTTTCCGCAGCCCCGATGATTGGGGTCGCCGGGCCGAGCGAGGACTCTTGACGCGTGCGACGTTTCAAACGCTCCGCGGGGGAGGGGTCGCCCAGGGCTGGAGCGCCGGCTTTCGCGAGCACCCCTGGAAGCGTCGCGGGCTTCTTCCAGGCGCCTCGGGCCCAGACATAGCCACGTAGCGGGCCCCTTAGCGCCTCTGTCTTGGGCCCCAGGAGCCGCCCAAGAAGTCCGGGAAGTGTCGCGCGAGTATCCCTTGCAGCTTTTTGTGCGGTGCCAACAGCGACGACATGGACCCGATTGACCCTTCCAAACTCATTCGGTGGGGGCGCGGGGAAGCCCGCTCCCCCGACGGCAAGATCTACGGGAACGCCGTCGACAACGACTGGTACTGCGAGAGGACGTACATGCAGAAATTCGGGCACTTGTTCACCTCCAGGATCGAGTTTAAGAGGAAGCTCGAGGGGGACAAGGTGATGCTCGACGGTTTCATGAAGCACCGCAATGACTTCATCGACTCGGGCAGGGGCACGGGCAAATGCCGCTTCCCAAGGTCTTCCGCAGGCAGCGGCAACCCAGTCAAGGTCTCCCGCAAAACGACGGCCAAGACAGAGCTCAAGGCCCCGAACGATAAGTTCTACACGGAGAAGCACTACAAAGAGACATTCGGCTGGCCCATACAAAAGGCAAACGGTCACCGCCGCGTGAAGTTCGGGCCGCACAAGGGGATCGCAGTGCCTGGAGATCAGGTCATGGACCAGCCGTGGGAGATCATCAACACGTACGGCAAGGGCTTGGAGATGGAGGATGGCGGGGCTGTTTCCCTCCGTCGTCCTGTCCTTCGCCCCCCCTCCTCTTCTGCTCCTCGCTCCATCCCCCTTCTCATTATCCCCCCCCGCCGCCTGAGGGGGAAGGAGCGAGGGGCAAGGGGGAAGGGGCGATGGGGGGAGGGCCAGACGGGGTTGCGGCATCCCAGCCTCGCCGAGGAAGTCGTTACAGATGGAGAGGACGAAGATGGCCCTGGCGGCGAGACCAAGTTCGAGGAGCTCGTGGATCAGCACTTGGAGCAGTACTCGGAGATGGTCAAGGGCAAGACTCACGGGGAGATGATGGCAATGGTGCAGGACTGGATTTGGAAACCCAGATTACAGCAACTCGGCGCACGCGGCTTAGGGCGCCCCGGCCTTGGCCCCCATGGCAGCCCTAAGCCCGCGTCGGGGGAAATTTGGGATTCCAAGTCCCTCAGGAAAGAAAAGCGGCCGAGGCCGCCGCGGCGGCAGCGCCCGGGGAGGCCGACGGCGCGGCGGAGCTTTCCACGCCCGCGAAGGCCACCAGGAACGCTCCTCCCCAGCCAGAGTCTGGGTCTGGCGGGAAGAGCCATGGCGGCCAGTCCCAGTCGCCCCAGGGGGCAGATGCGCCAGCACCTTCTCGGAGCCGCGGCGTCTTTGGAGCGGTTTCCGAGAGCCCGAGCCCGAAGGCCAGAGCGCGGTGCCAGCCTAGCAAGCAGCGGCCCTCGGCTAAGCCAGCGCCGAAGCAGGCGAAGGTCGCGGCCAAGACCGCTGAGCAGTCCAGGGCAGTCGCGCCTGCGGGCCGTCCGAAGCCGCCACAGCAGCAGGCTTCGGGCGCAGGCAAGAGGGGGCCGCGTCGCACTGACCTGGATGAGTACCCGAGCCTGGGGACCCCCCGGCAAGAGATGCGACGAGGGGCCAGGAGCAGCCCCGGGAGGGCCCCCAAAAGCAGCCCCCTGAAGCTTCCCCCGAGGCATCGTTCTTGCGGGGCCCCTGGGGGGGGGCTCGCATTGCAGAAGGGCCCGATGCAGCATGTTGCGCGCCGCTTGGGGCCACCTTGACCGCCCTGCACCTTCCCGGGTCTCTGGGGGGCCCTCAGAGGCCCCCGAATGTTTTCAGGTGCTCGCGTCGATTGCGATTCGTCGCGGGGACTTGGGCGCGGCGTTCCCGGCGCCGACATCCGAGGATATCTCGAGCGAGATGAATAAAGTTACGTGCCGTGGGAAACGTAATTGTATACGTTTCGCTAGGGAAATCGTCGGACATTGGGTCTCGAAGTTGGCCCCATCCCATGCTCGTGACGTTGCCGGCGCCGAAGTCCGAGGATGTCTCGGGTGAAACGAGAAAACATAACTCTTGATCCATGGGGGACGTACCTTGATGTATTTCGCTCGAGGCATCCTCGTGGTTGAAATTGGTTTTGGCTTTATCATGTTTGAAAGATCAGGCCTGGCCCCCGAGTGAATCATCGCCTTGTGGCATCTGGACGGGCGGGTGTCGGGCATCGCCTTCCCAACAGGTACTCGAGTAAGTTGCTGAGCGAGTGGTGCGCGTCGAGCGCCTCGGACACGTTCTGGAACGCCGACGCGGCCACGGCGCAGTTCAGGTCCCTCAACCGCTACATCGGCATCCTGAAGAACGAGATTGACACGGCAGAGTTCGAGAACGCAGAGTCGGCGACCACCGACCAGCTGTCGATGTCCAGGCTCCAGATTATCGAGGCATCCATGAAAATTTTCAGCAAGAAGCGTTCCCCAGCCCTTCTTCAAGAGTTTAAGCCGTTCGACGCCTTCGTCCAGAGGTTCGCGGAGAGGGCGAAAGGTGGGGCGCCCCGTGATCCAGAGAAATGCTCCTCCGATTTCTTCGAGAATTTCCGCTTGGGCTTGGAGCTCGAGTATTCGTTCGGCGCGTGCCCGATCTCCATCCAGAGGGTGAGCTCCATGGTCTTGGCGAGGGCGGACGTCGACGAGATGCGGGCCAAGATCTTGGAGGGCATGGTGGCTGCCCTGGTGAGGCCCGGCTTTCAGACGGCCAGCGTCGCCAAGAGGATCGCGGACCAGTGCGAGGCGTTCCTGGAGAGTGCCCCGGAGGTTCTGCGACCCGAGATCTCCGCCGTCGTCTGCATTGCGAGGGCGACTCCCGGCCAGGAGTTCGAGCAGGTGATGTCTGAGATGAACGCCGCGGCGACTGACGCCCGCGCCCTTCAGCAGGACGTCGGCACCACGCGTCTCTGCGCGTTGGCCGTGTCTTCGTCTCTCCATCTCTCGATGATCCTTCCAGGCCTTGTCAAACGATGGTCCTCCCAGGCCTGTTCCAAATCATGATCCTCGGAGGCCCATCCCAAACGATGGTCCTCCCAGGCCTGTTCCGAACGAGGGTGCCCCCAGGATTGTTTTGCACGATGGTCCTCCCAGGCCCGTTTTAAATCATGGCCCAGCCAGGCCGGTCTCATCCTAGCACGGGGGGAGGGGGGGAGAATAGGATGTAGAGAAGGGAGTAGGAGACAGAGTGGGAGAGGAAAACGGATAAACCAAATTTTACCGAAGTCACCGACTAAGCCGAATTCCCTCCTCCTCCTCCCTCTCCTCCCCCCCTCCCCGCGCCCCGCGCCTCCGCGAGCCGGGCGTGCGGCTGCGGCAGCGGTGGCGGCGGTGGCGGCAGTGGCCCCATGCCGGGGGGGGGGCCTCCTCCTTCTCATCCTCCTCCTCCTCCTCCTCCTCCTCCTCCTCCTCCCCCTCCTGCTCCTGCTCCCGATATGGCCTCCACGCTCCTCCAAGAGGGCCTTAAGAGGCGCCCAAGAGAGCCCCAAGAGGGCTGCAAGACGGACCCAATTAGGATCACCCGGAAGGCCTCTGCCGGGTGATCCTAATTGGGTCCGTCTTGGAGCCCTCTCGGAGCCGTCTGGAGACCCTCTTGGAGCCTTCTTGAGGCCATCTTGGGGCCATGTTGGGCCCCGAGAGGCTCTCAAGAGAACCCCAAAAGGACTCCAACTAGGATCACCCGGCAGAGCCCTTCCGGGTGATCCTAATCGGGTGAGTTTTGGGGCCCTCTTGTGGCCCTCCTGGGGCCTCTTAGGGCCTCTTTGGAAGCGTCTGGAGGCCATCTTGAGCCATCTTGGGGCCAGCTCGGGCCCCAAGAGGCTCCCAAGAGGGCCGCAAGAGGGCCCCAATTGGAATCACCCAGCAGAGGCCTTCCGGGTGATCCTAATTAGCTCTGTCTTGGCGCCCTCTTGTGGCGCTCTCCTGGGGCCCTCTTAGAAGCCCCTTCGAGCCCTCTTGGAGGCGTCTTCAGGCCATCTTGCGCCGTCTTGGGCAGTAGTGGCAGTAGTAGTAGAGGCCTCTGTGAAACGTCCCGGGAGCGGCCGGGGATTTTGGCCTAACGTGCTGGGCAGACGTCCGCACGACGGGTGGATGCTCCCGGTGCGGCCGGGGATTTTGGCCTAACGTGCTGGGCGGACGCCCGTGCGACGGGTGGATGCTCCCGGTGCGGCCGGGGATTTTGGCCTAACGTGCATGGTGCTTTCCTCTTGGATGGGGATTCTGGTGTGGCGTCTCTGCAGCGGGTGGGCTGTGTTGCCGCTATCTGTTTCAGCCCTTTCGTCGAAGCGGGCGTTTCGGATGCTCCACGCAGGGCCGTCCTCGCGGCCAGGGATTTTGGCCTGACGTCGCTGACGTCATTCGTAACCCCGACGTGTATGCCGCTTGTTGTTGCAGCACGCCCAATGCGGCCGGGGATTTTGGCCTAACGTGCTGGGCAGACGTCCGTGCGAAGGGTGGATGCTCCCGGTGCGGCCGGGGTTTTTGGCTTAACGTGCTGGGCGGACGTCCGTGCGACGGGTGGATGTTCCCGGTGCGGCCGGGGATTTTGGCCTAACGTGCGTGGTGCTTTCCTCTTGGATGGGGATTCTGGTGTGGCGTCTCTGCAGCGGGTGGGCTGTGTTGCCTCTGGTGTGTTGCAGCCCTTTAGTCGAAGCGGGCGCTTCGGATTCTCCACGCAGGGTGGTCCTCGCGGCCGGGGATTTTGGCCTGACGTCGCTGACGTCATTCGCAACCCCGACGTGTATGCCGCTTGTTGTTGTAGCACGCCCAGTGCGGCCGGGGATTTTGGCCTAACGTGCTGGGCAGACGTCCGCACGACGGGTGGATGCTCCCGGTGCGGCCGGGGATTTTGGCCTAACGTGCTGGGCGGACGCCAGTGCGACGGGTGGATGCTCCCGGTGCGGCCGGGGATTTTGGCCTAACGTGCATGGTGCTTTCCTCTTGGATGGGGATTCTGGCGTGGCGTCTCTGCAGCGGGTGGGCTGTGTTGCCGCTATCTGTTTCAGCCCTTTCGTCGAAGCGGGCGTTTCGGATGCTCCACGCAGGGTCGTCCTCGCGGCCAGGGATTTTGGCCTGACGTCGCTGACGTCATTCGTAACCCCGACGTGTATGCCGCTTGTTGTTGCAGCACGCCCAATGCGGCCGGGGATTTTGGCCTAACGTGCTGGGCAGACGTCCGTGCGAAGGGTGGATGCTCCCGGTGCGGCCGGGGTTTTTGGCCTATAACGTGCTGGGCGGACGTCCGTGCGACGGGTGGATGTTCCCGGTGCGGCCGGGGATTTTGGCCTAACGTGCATGGTGCTTTCCTCTTGGATGGGGAATCTGGTGTGGCGTCTCTGCAGCGGGTGGGCTGTGTTGCCGCTATGTGTTGCAGCCCTTTAGTCGAAGCGTGCGCTTCGGATTCTCCACGCAGGGTGGTCCTCGCGGCCGGGGATTTTGGCCTGACGTCGCTGACGTCATTCGCAACCCCGACGTGTATGCCGCTTGTTGTTGTAGCACGCCCAGTGCGGCCGGGGATTTTGGCCTAACGTGCTGGGCAGACGTCCGCACGACGGGTGGATGCTCCCGGTGCGGCCGGGGATTTTGGCCTAACGTGCTGGGCGGACGCCAGTGCGACGGGTGGATGCTCCCGGTGCGGCCGGGGATTCTGGCCTAACGTGCATGGTGCTTTCCTCTTGGATGGGGATTCTGGTGCGGCGTCTCTGCAGCGGGTGGGCTGTGTTGCCGCTGTCTGTTTCAGCCCTTTCGTCGAAGCGGGCGTTTCGGATGCTCCACGCAGGGTCGTCCTCACGGCCAGGGATTTTGGCCTGACGTCGCTGACGTCATTCGCAACCCCGACGTGTATGCCGCTTGTTGTTGCAGCACGCCCAATGCGGCCGGGGATTTTGGCCTAACGTGCTGGGCAGACGTCCGTGCGAAGGGTGGATGCTCCCGGTGCGGCCGGGGTTTTTGGCCTAACGTGCTGGGCGGACGTCCGTGCGACGGGTGGATGTTCCCGGTGCGGCCGGGGATTTGGGCCTAGCGTGCATGGTGCTTTCCTCTTGGATGGGGATTCTGGTGTGGCGTCTCTGAAGGAGGGAGGTGGGTATACTCAAAATCCAATATGCTTTTGGACCTCTCCTTCACGATCTGCGTGAGGGGTGCCCGCCAGTTTCTGAGTTTCGAGGATGTCCGTAGCGAAACGGCCAGGTTGCTCAAAGATGGCTCGACAAAGGCCCGATTTGGGGAGGATGTCTCAGGCGAAACAGCGATTCTCCTATAGAGGAGCTCAGAATCATTCAAAATACATTGTGTTTTTGAATCGTTGAAGCAAGAATGTTGAAAATCCTATGTGTTTTTGGACCTCTCCTTCACGATCTGCGTGAGGGGTGCCACCGATTTTCAGAATTTTGAGGATGTCCCTAGCGAAACGGCCGGGAAAATCGAAGACGCACGCACGCGCGGACGCACGGACGCATTAATCCCCTCTGAGCCCCTCTGAGCTCTACTCCCTCGGAGAGGTGCGTATGAGAATATATATATATATATATATATATATAGAAACATATACATACATGGGGAAAGACCGAGATAGGTAGCGTTCTGTTCCCCATCCAGAAGGCATTCGGTCGCCACAAGCACCCGCACGGCCAGGCGATCCTCGACCAGGCGGCCGCCGAGCTCAAGGAGTGGAAGAACTCTGCCGAGAAGTGGGGGGACATCAAGGTTGAGTGGGAGCGCTTGGCAACCGTCGTCAATGGGGGCAGATCCGAGGCCATTGGAGCCGACAGCGTGAAGGATGGCATCGTGAAGATTAACAGCTGGGCAGAGTCCGTCACAGACTCCACGTGGTCGGTCATGGGCGCCGCCGCCGGGGATGATCGCTGGGTGGCCCAGACCGCCTTTCTCAAGCACACGGACTTCGTGATCGCGGAGACGTCTTTGCTGTTGAACACGTGGGCCAAGGCGACGCTGTCGCGGACCGAGACCTCGGGTCTGAAGGGTTCCCTCGTGAAGGCGGCGTGCAGGCCGGAGCTCATGGGCAGCGCGAGCGCCAAGTTGAAGGAGCTCGCCGAGATCCAGCTGAATTACAATTTGATTGACCGCCGCTCGGTCGGGGAGGGGCCCGACTCTCTCGCCCGCATTGCTGAGAGGCGTTCGGCTCTATTGTTGCTCTCGCGGTGGTTCGGCTCTTCGGACCTGCTCGCGAAGGTGGGGGCGTCGAGCGCGGACCTGCAGGAGTGCGATGCCAAGAAGTTCATCGAATTGGACACGCTCGACGCCAGCGCTGACCCCGCCCTGGTGGCCATCCGCGCGAACGCCGACATCGCCGCCTGCCTGGAGAAAGTGCGTCCTGATGCGAGGCGGAAGGTCATGGCGCAGTCCGCGCGGCCGCTGGCTGCTCTCGACGAGGGGCACGGCGCGATCTGCAAAATGATCCATGTCATCGCCAAGGTATCGGGGCTATGCCTGTCAGCTTCGCCCACTCGGGGCCTTCTCATCAGCTCCCTGGGAGGTGGAAGCGGGCGGAGGTGTTGGGCGGGGCGGGGGCCGGGGGCGGATGGCGGAGGCGGAGATCAGGGGCGGGAAGGGGGGGGGGGGGGGGGCGGGGGGCTGATGCAGGAGGCGAACGGGTCAGTGAGATGGCGAGCATCGCGCCCGGAAGGCATCGAAGGTGGAGCGCCTCGAGCTGAGCGGTGAGATCGCAGGCGAGTTTGAGAAGGTGACGGCCGATGTCGCGAGCGTCGCTGCCGCCTACGACGACGCTGCCTTCGCCGAGCTCGACTCGCAGATGGTCAGGTGCGCGGCTGGCCCCGAGCGGTCGCGGGCCCAGCTGAAGCAACTCCTCGGGCAGTGGGCGATGAAGCTCGCGAGCTTGATCGACGTCTCGCGCCGCAAGGAGGTCGTGCGCGCCAACGGCATGAAGGACTTCGCATCGGCTTTCGAGGGGGCCTTCGTCAGGGCGACGGCGCTGCGCACATTCCTGAATGCGAACCGCAACAAGATGGCCTCCGATTTTGAGGTCGTCTGCGTGGGCTTGCCCACCGAGGAGGGCGTCTCCGTCGTGGACGCGCTGGAGCTCTACGGCAGCGACGTCTTGGAGAAGGCGCGCTCGGTCGCGGAGGCCGAGGCGATGGACGTCGTCAGAGGCGTGTCGAAGTTGCACCCCGACAAGGACGTGCTTCTCAGTCCCGCGGTCCTCCGTTCAGCCGACCTGAAGGCCAGCATCGCCACCAACCCGCATCATGGCGAGATCGCCCCCGCCGTGATGGCGGCGCTTGCCGCGAGGGACGCCCTGGCCAAGCTTCCCACCAAGATCATCCAGGCGCAGTCCGAGAGGGAGCTCAACAGCAGGGTGAACGTGGCCAAGGTGGCCATCGGCTTGGAGCACTGTCTCCGCGTGCTGTCGGAGGTGGCGGCGCTGGAGACGCAGGATGGAGGGGCCGAGGGGCAGGGCCGATGAGATAGGCGCGGGGGCGGTCGGGGACAGGGGTGGGCCGCGGAAGGAGGGGCGCGGACGGGGGGGGAGCGGGGCGCGGGTGATGGGCCGGCGAGGGCGGGGGGGGTTCTCCCCGCCTGCCTCCCGTGCCCCGTGCGCCCGTGCATCCCTGCTCGCCCTCGTCTTCGGCCTTCCTCCTCGTCCAAACCCCTCCGCCCCCCCCGCCCCCCCGCCGCCCCTCGACGCGGCCCTCGCCGGCCCGCCCGAGGAGAAGAAGGCCGCCAGAGTGGCGGCGGCCCTGGAGCGCATGAGCAAGAAGGGCGTGAAGGTCCCGACGTACATGAAGTCGCACCTTGACGCGCTGGCTCGCGGCGGCTAGCCGCCCGCCAGCCTGCCCCATCCCACCTCCCCCTCCCTTGTGCGTGGGCGGGCCATCTGGGATGGCTTGCCAAAGCGAGCGCGATAGGCGCAATATGACCCATCCTCCATCCTGCGCCCATCGCGCCCGCGGAGCGTGGTCGGGCCCCCTGCCTGGGGCAAACAGGAGAGGAGGAGGAGGAGGAGGAGGAGGAGGATGGGGGAGGAGGAGGAGGAGGAGGAGGAGGAGGAGGAGGAGGAGGGAGAGGGAGAGGAGGCGGAGGAGGAGAAGGAGGAGGGCGAGGCGAGGGGGGGCATGCGGATGAGGAGAAGGCTTCTTGGAAGCTTCTTGGAGCTTCCTGGGGGCCTCCCAGGATATGTTTGAAATCTGCTCGGGGGCCTCGCAGGGCCCCCTGGCGGCCTCTTGAGCCCCTTGAGCCGTTTAACACACATATGGCCCATGGGCTCATAGGCTGTGGGGGCCGCCTTGGGGGCCTCTCTAGGCCGCGTCGGTGCCCTCCTGGAACGGGCCGCAGCCGTCTTGGGCCCCCCCATCGGGGGACCCTTGGTGCGATGTTTGGGCCCTCCTGGGCCGACTTGAGGCCCTCTCAGGGGCCTCCTGGGTTATCTTGGATTATGTTGGAGGCCTCTCGGTGGCTTCTTGGGCCCTTTTGGGCGGTCGGGAACCCGGGCGAGCGATGACTCTCAATCGTCCAGAAAACTTTGGTTGATCAATGGCGTTGGGCCCATCGGGCTCTCCAAGGGGGCCTTTTGGCCCCCCTCGGGCTCTCCGAGAGGGCCTGTTGGACCCCTCGGGCTCTCTCAGAGGGCCTCTTGGACCGCTTGGCCAGGCATTTCCTCATTTCAGCTCAATCATCTTATCCCCCCCCCCTCCGTTATCTCCTCCTCTAGAGCCGCTCGCGCGGATGCGGCTCAGTCTTGCCCGCGGCCCTGAAGGACTGGCAGCCTTTTTTTTTTTTTTTCTTTTTCTTCACCCTCTCTCTCACCCCACCCATCTATCTCCATCTCTCTCTCTCTCTCTCTGGCGTGAGTCCCCCTTCGGAGGCCTGCGAGGGGGGGGCCAGCGACGCCGTCCTGGCGCCTCAGCACCAGGGGCAGAGCAGCCCCCTCCTGCCCCGAGAGGCCCCGCCGAGGGCCGCGCTTGCAGCGCGCCGCGAGGGAGCTGCGCGCACGCGAGGAACTGCGCGCACTGCGCGCCAGCGATGTGTCCGGGAACACAAGTCCTCCGCCTCCTCGCCCTCCCCTTTTTCCTTCTCCCACTGCCCTTCCTCCCCCTTTCTCCCCCCCCCTCTCTCTCTCTCTCTCTCTCTCTCTCTCTCTCTGTTTCCGACTCTCTGGTCCCCCGCCGAACTGCCCCCGCGGCGTCGGGGCTGGTTCCTGGGCGAAGCCGGGCCCAGGGGGGGACGGTCGGGCGGTCGATCAGGGCTTGTGCGTGTGTTTGCGTGCGTGTGTGTGGGTGTGTGCGTATTTTCGATTGGCACGGGAAGAAAACAACGACCTCGGGTCCACGCAAGGCCCCGGGGGCCGGTCCCTGAGGGCCCCGTTCGGGGCCTTGAAGAACGCCTTCGGCCCCTCTTCCCTAGAAGCCTCGATCGCCCCCCCATCGGCCCCTCGGGCGCCTGCCCCCTCTTGCTGACGCCTTTTTTTTGCGTGTGCTTTGCTCGGTGTTGTTAACGCTTCGGGTGGAATTAGTTGTTTTTGTTGTCGTTGCATGTTGTAATATCCCAATTAGTTGTTTTAGTTGTTGTGGGCACTGCTGGCCTGCCGAATTAATTGTTTTACTTGTGGGCCGCGTTGCTACAATTGTATGAATTGTTTGTTATAGTTGTTGTTTTAGTTGTCTACAACATCCCGCATTAGTTGTTGGGGACAGTTGATGGGGCGAGGAAACCTATCAGGGTGTAACTCATCAGACCCACCGCCAACTTTGAACACTGGGGGGAGGGGGAGGCGTTTACAGATGAATGTGGCATGAGTGTTCGCTATTTTTTTCCGAGGCCTGGTGCGTGCAGGATTCCCAACATGAACCCCACGACGGTAACCTTCAGTCGGGCGTGTCCCTCTACAGGAGGAATGCTCAAAAATAGTAAAACATAGTCAGGAGGCGACTTTTGTTGTTACTATTTTCCCGTACGTTTGATTATTTGTTGAGCATTTTTTTATTTTTCGTCCAAAACCCCCCTGTAGGGGGACACGCCCGACTGAATGGCAACCTCGGTTCCCTATGGCAAAGGTTTGACATGATCGAAGATGCCTACGGGCGAGCCACCACCGCCCCCTCTGCCTCTTGGAAACGCGCATGTGGCCACGCGTTGGGCCAGCCTTTAGACGATGTGTTCCCCCCAGCCGCTGTGGAGCCCCCTTGGGGGGAACACCTGGGAGAGAAAGAAAAGTGTGGATGAAAGGGAGGAGGAAGAGGTGGAAGAGGTGGAAGAGGAGGAGGAGGAGGAGGAGGAGGAGGAGGAGGAGGAAGAGGAGGAGGAGGAGGAGGAGGAGGAGGAGGAGGGAGGAGTTGAGGAGGAGGAGGAGGAGGAGGAGGAGGAGGAGGAGGAGGAGGAGGAGGAGAGAGGAGGAGGAGGAGGAGGAGGAGGAGGAGGAGGAGGAGGAGGAGGAGGAGCAGGAGGCCTCTTGAGGTCGTCGTGTGGCTCCATAGGGGGCTTCCTGGGAGCCTCTTGAGGGGCATCTGAGGAGCCTCTTGGGGGCCTCCTGGAGCCTCTAGGGAGCCTCTCGCGGGCCTCTTGATGGCCTCTTGGGGGCCTCCGGGAGCCTCTGAGGGGCTTCTTGGCTTTCGGAGGCCGTCTTGCGGGCCTCTCTGGGCAGTCGTGGGTCCCTCTTTGGGCGCTTTGGGGCCGTCTTTGGAGGTCTGTGGGCCGTCCTGGGGGCGCCTTTGGCCGCCTTTGGGCCCTCTCGAGTCGTCTTGCGGGCCTCTCGGCTCTCGGGGGCCTCTCGGGGGGCCTCTTGGGCCGTCTTGGGGCGATCCCTGAGGCCTATGCGGCCGTTATGTGGCGTCGGACGCCTAAAATCATTGACCAACCTACTGCATCGATGCTGTTGGCATCCTAGAGGTCCTCTTGAAGCCCTCTCGGGGCATCGCGGGGGCCTCTGTGGCCGTCTGGAGGGCATGTTGGGCCGTCTTGTGGCTATCTTGGCGTTTGGGAGGTAGCTGAGGACCGTCTTGCAGGCTATATTGAGCCACCTTGGGTCAACTTGGAGGCCATCTTGTGCCATTGTTGCCGTCTTGGGGACCATCAGGAGGCCATCTTGGTCGTCTTGGGGAGTTTGTGTGTTTGTGGATTTTATAGCTTTTCCAGGTGACCGGCGCGATCGGCCGGGACCCCTACTGGAAACCTTATACAGCAATTGACAAACAGTCAAACGCCTGGCACGCCAGGCGCTCCTCCTCCTCCTCCTCCTCCTTCTCCTCCTCCCCCGATAACTCAACCGGGGGCAGCGGACATCTGGTGGCCTGATGTCCGTCCCTCAACACTGCTTGGGTCGTGAGGAAGAGACCTCTCGGAAACCTCCCGGGAGCTTCTCGGAGGTCCCTTGGGGCCCGTCTGGGGCCCCTCGGGGGGCCCTGGGGGCCTCCTTGGGACCTCTTCGGGGTCTGCTGGCGGTCTCGGAGGCCATCTGTGGGAGAAGAGGTCGAAACATCACTTCGGGTCCTGGGTCCCTCTTCGGGCCGTCCTGGGGTCGGCGCGGTGGCCCCTCGGGCCCCCATCGGGAGCCGCTTTCGGGCGACCTTGGGGGCCCCTTGGGCCGCCCCGGCGGCTCCTGAAGACCGGGAAGGCGAAGATCAGGCAGCAGCGGGAGCCTCGAGACGGGGGTCAGTGCAAACGGGGGTCAGCCAGAGCGCCAGATCCTGCAGGATCTTGCGAAGACCCCCTCTGGCTGACCCGAGTCAGCGAGCCGCTCGTGGCCGCGAGGCGGCCGCGCATTTATTGGCTGGCCCGGGTTTGCGAAGACCTGCGTTGCAGTGTTTTTCTCCTGCATGGCAGTTAGTTGGTTTCCTGCTGACCCGGGTCTGGATTGACCCGGGTCAGAAGATCCCCGACAGCACACTTTTTGGTCGATGGCCTTGGCCCCTCGGACAAGTCCCCAAAGCCTCCCATGCGGCCAACGAGGGATGCTCCCGAGCTCCAGGACAGGCCACGAGAACAGTTTGGGAGTACGAATTCCAAGCCGCGCCCCCCCGGAGGCCTCTGGAGAAGTCACGCTGGGATGTCAAGAAGCGCCCAGGGGGGGGGGCCCGAGAGCGCCCACTAGTTCGGGTTTTTCTGCAACGCTAAATTTTGAGGACTCTGCGAGACCAGGGGACACTTCACTCAGTGCCTCGCGACACAGTGCCGGATTCTGGTGTTGATGGGCACCCTTTCAGGCATGCTGTTTACACACCTGTGCCGGACATATAAGGACACAGTCTTTTCTGATGCGGAGAACGTTTCAGGCTGGACCCACAGGTACATGCAGGAGTCGCACTGCATGCGCATGCGATGTTGCTGGCCATGTCCAGGACCCTTGAACATGTGTTGCAGTGCCGCTCTCGGAGCCCGTCGATGACTTCGAGATGCGGCCGTTGTCCTTTTATAGTTTCGTTGCAAGGGCTGCGTGGGATCGGCGTCACCCCAACATACTAATTCTATGCGTGCGTCGCCCCCCCCCCCCCCCCAGGGGCGACGCGCGCACCGAGACATCTTCTAGTATATGTGTCGTGGCGGGCGCTTTCTGGTCACATCGCTCGGGAAACGCAACGCTACAAGATGGGTATACTATAGGTTCGGGCTGGACGCGCGCCCCCAAGGAGAACATCTGGTACTATAGGATGTTTTAGGGCGCCCCAGGGGAGGCTCCCTGTACGAGCGGGCCGAGAGCGCGGAGAGCGCCGAGAGCGAGCGGTCCCTGCTCATGGCCACCATCGACGCCCTGCGCGAGGCCGCGGATGCGGCCCTCAGCCGCGCCGAGGAGGCCCCCGCGCTCTGCCTGCCTGCCTGCCTGCCTGCCTGCCTGCCTGCCTGCCTGCCTGCCTGCCTGCCTGCCTGCCTGCCTGCCTGCCTGCCTGCCTGCCTGCCTGCCTGCCTGCCTGCCTGCCTGCCTGCCTGCCTGCCTGCCTGCCTGTGTGTGTGTGTGTGTGTGTGTGTGTGTGTGTGTGTTGTGTGTGTGTGTGTGTGTCGGCGGGCCGTGCGCGGAGAAGGAGGAGGAAGGGGTAGAAGGAAGGAGGATGAGGAGGGGGAGATGAGGGAGGAGGAGGAGGAGGAGCAGGAGGAGGAGGAGGAGGAGGAGGAGTGAGGAGGAGGAGGAGGAGGGGGAGGGGAGGGGGGAGGGGGAGGGGTGGTGGGGAGGGGGAGGAGCGAGGACGAGGAGGAGGAAGAGGAGGAGGAGGAGGAGGAGGAGGAGGAGGAGGAGGAGGAGGAGGAGGGGGGGGAGGAGTGCGGTTAGGAAACTCTTGCCGCGCTTCTCTTGAGGCTTGTCTCGGCTCTCTTCGGGGTCTCTTCGGACCATTTTGAGCGCATGTGTCCTGGGGGATGTGTCAGCTATCGCAGGATCATCTTCGGAATTGTGGGCCTCTGGGGGTTGCGGCGCCCTCGTGGGGGCTTGTGGGAGTGCTCTGAAGGCCCACTCGTGGCCTCGGGAGCTTCCTGGAGCTTTCTGGCCACCTTACGTGCTCTCTCGTGGGGCCACTTGTGACCTGATACTGTGCCACTGGGTCCATTCAGGACGCGCTCGCTTGGGAGCACACCGCGCATCAGGCAGCACATCGGGTCGAGATCCGTCGCCTGACCCCTGCCTATCCTCCTCCTGGTGCTCTCCTCGATTTAGGCCTCGTCGTCCTCGCCGTCGTCGTCGTACTGCCCATCCAACATACTAAAACTGCCTCTTCCCAGGCGGAGTCCGCCAGCAGGGCGGCGATGGCGCGGTCCATCGGCGCGTGCGTGAAGGAGTGCGTCGGCCGCCAGGTCAAGGAGCCAAGCGCGCCGAGAGAGCGCAGGTGGTGCCCCCTCCTCCAGGAGGAGGGGAGGAGGAGGAGGAGGAGGAGGAGGAGGAGGAGGAGGAGGAGGAGGAGGAGGAGGAGGAGGATGAGGAGGAGGACGACGACGAGGAGGGGAGGACGAGGGAGGGAGGAGGAGGTGGAGGAGGAGGAGGAGGAGGAGGGAGAGGAGGAGGAGGAGGAGAGGAGAAGGAGGAGGAGGAGGAGGAGGAGGAGGAGGAAGGACGAGGAGGAAGACGAGGAGGGCGAGGAGGAGGAGGGCGAGGAGGAGGAAGGAGGAGGAGGAGGAGGACGAGGAGGAGGAGGAGGAAGAGGAGGAGGAAGAGGAGGAGGGCGATGAGGAGGAGGAGGGCGATGAGGAGGAGGGCGAGAACGAGGACGGAGGGCGGAGGCCGGCGAGGGTGAGGGCGAGCCTCGTGGAGAGGCCTCATGGAGATGTCTGTCTCCCAGAGGGCCCAAAAATTAGGACGCATCTCTGAGAGATTGAGTTCAGCATCTTACCAGCCTGGAACATCGGCGTCACCCTAACATAATAATACTACGTGGGCGTGCCCCCCACCCCTCCCAGGGGCGATGCGCGCACCGAGAAATCTTATACGTAGTGTATGCGTCGTGGCGGGCTCTTTCTGGCCACACCGCTCGGGAAACGACATACGTTCGGGTCGGACGCCCGTCTTCAAAGAGAACATCTAGTATAAGTATGTCTCTGCGCGTCCCATACCACCCCGAAACATACCCCTGTTCCTATGCTTTGCATCGCCTTATCTCGATGCCGATCTTGGGGATACCCTCAGGCTGATCAACCTTAGGGACAGGGGTCAGTTCGAGGCTGGTTAGCGTCGGCCCTAGTAGAGCCAAGACGCTGAAACAAGGAACAGTTCTGGCTCGTACGGGGCTCGATCGATGCTCCTCAGGTCTTTCCATGGTTGTTTCTCTAGCCCACCTCGTGCACGCATGCGCTTTTAGGGCCAAAAAGGGGCTTCGTTCCTTTTGTATATCCGTAGTCGAAAACCAGCCTACTCCGGCGTAGTCCCGCGTGATTCCGCTTGACCAGTTCAATTTGTTGTACGTGTTTCGAGGCTCTGTACCTGTTCGGCTGTCATACCGTTTTTCTAATGTATGTTGTGCAGGTGTGCGTTCTTGGCGTATACAGTTTGCCGCTGCGCCGCCAGGGCGCGGTTTTCATTCAGTCAGTCAGGCATTGAATTTGGCTCAGTCGGGCTGGATCCTAGACCTATTCTGGGCCTGTCCAGCTTATTGGCTTCTGAAATTGCCCAATCGCCCTTGAATCGTTCCTACGAAGAGCTTCCAGGAGCTGGCTCCTATCACGAAGTGCTGAGAACGGCCTGGAGAAAACTCGATCCTCGGAGAGCTCGAGTAACCCTGTGCCGCCGAGATTAATGCCACAGGGATGATAAAGTTTGGGGTCGCGGGGGGATTATAAATGTTGCCTACCGGAGGCCAGCATGTGGGAGGAGAAAGAGATGATGTTAAGAGGACCGAAAGCCGAGGATCGAGGATCGAGAATCGAAGTCCGAGGATCGAGGATTGAGATCCCAGAAATAGAGAAAGATAGACAGACAGAAGGAGAGAGGTGGAAGAGGAGGAGGAGGAGGAGGAGGAGGAGGAGAAACGCTAAAGTTCCAAAACTGTTGACTTTAATTTGTAAACAAACAATGGAAATTATGATTGTCATCTGCTCGTGTAGGGTAGCTCACGTGCCTCGGTTTTCGTGGATAGTAAACCACAGCGATAAAAACGTTCAGGGGGGGCAGGGGGGGAGGAAATGGAAAGAGAAAGAGAAGAGCAGACAGAAGAGAGAGAGAGAGATAAAGAGAACGCTGCTGGTTTCGTTTGAGACATCCTCGACAACGTCTTCGCTTCGTTTGATGTTGCTATCTCAACATAAGAAGGAAGTTTACCTCGATGGTGAACTTTTCACAGTGATCAAAAAGTTCGGCCTCCGCGCCCCGCGCCCCTGACCAAATTCTTATTGGCCGTGGATAATCAACTCTAGCGTGTAAAGGGGGGGGTCCTTTTTTATCAGCAGCACGTGGTTATCGCAGAACCTCGGTTCTCGAGCCCCGACGAGGGCGCGAGGGCGAGGGAGGCGGCGCCCGGAAGCGCCGCGCTTGCCCCCTCTGCCGCAAGAGGAGGCCGTGCGGGCCGCGGCGGAGGAGGCGACCGCCGAGCTGCGGGCCGCCGCGGCGGAGGCGACCTTCCGCGCACGCGCGGCGGCGTCGGCGGCGCCGTGGAGCGGTGGTCCTCCTCGACGGCGTCATTCGCTATGCCTCCTGCCCTGAGCTCTACAGTCGGGGCCCTGAAGAAGGAACCCTTTTCGTTGGGGAGGGGCTCCGTGTTCCTTAATTGTTTCGCAGCTTGCCCTGGATTTTCCTTAGGTTTTCGGTACGAAATCGAAGTTCAACTTATGGAAAATAGGGGCCTCGTTCCTTATTTAGGGTTCCATAGGTCAACGCCTCGACTGTACGATATCTTCGCCACATGGCTTGGGCCTCTTCTTCCATCGTGCTCTTTGTTCCCTGAGGATGTTCACTGGCGCTTCGCTTGCCTCCCTCTCGCTCCAATATCACGTGCTCTTAATGTTCTCTTTGCTGCCTGCGTTGACGCCTTTCCCGCCCTCCACTCGGCCTGACGTAGGGGGGCCCAGAGTATGCCTGCTCAGAGTTTCGAGGCTTGCTTGCGGCTGACTTCTCGCCGCCGCAAGTTCGTTCCCCTGGCCTGGAGAGCCCAAGCGGCTGTGCGTGTTGCTGCCTCCTCCTCCTCCCGCGTTGTTTCTTCAGCTCAGCAGAATCCGACGAGACCGCCGCCGACATCCACTCGAGGCCGCTCGCGAGGTAGGTGGTAAGCTCCACCGACTCTTGGTTCCTTCGAGCTTTGCTCTGTGTTATTTTTTGCGGTCTGCAAAGCAGGCCATCGCCAGAGGGTTTTCATGGGATGTTCGGTGGAACGTTACCTGCTCGGTTGTTTGGCACACGTCGAGGTCGATGGGAGCTTCTTCTCGAACTATATGTTGCGGCATGTTCTAGTCACTTGAGCTCGGATTGATAGAGTTGCTGGGGCTGCATCTGCTGCTCGGCCTCTGGCACTTTGCCCGAAGGGGAACTTCTCTCGTGCCGAGGCATGACCGCCTTGTACCGTGCTGTTTGGGGACCCCGACAATGGCCCAAGAAACTTCAGCGCCATTAAGGCTCTTGCTTGGCATCGCTCGGACGTGTGCACTTTTCCTCCGGCGAGGATCATCGAGGAGCACCCTTGATCAGTTCGCGGAAAAACCACGCACGAAACCGAAACAAACACAGGAAATGGACGTCCGAGCGATGGCCAGCTTGTGGGAACAGAAGAAAACACGAAAACACGCAGGTCACCACAAGTGCCAATCTGCATGACACGATCGGCAAACCGCGCACCAGAGGTCGCTCCTGCCCAGAGCCACTCCTGCGTGCAGCCGAGTGGATCGCGTGGCAGAATTGGAGTGGGGAGCACGGAGTGTGTGTGGGGGGGGAGGACAGGCAAGCAAGCTCTACTCTGAACCGAAAGCGAGGCGGCACTACCCAAGCTTCACTTGGAACCGAAGGGTAGGGAGCTGAGTGGCCCCAAACAGCCGGTGTTTTTTTTCAGCCCCTGGCAAGTGTACTTGCATCGGCGGGGGGGAGGGGGTGCCTGGACGTGAAGCAAACCGCAAACGAGTGGCACGTGCGGAGAGCACGCAAGTCGCAGGGAGCTTGCACGCCAGCATCCGTCTGAACGGGGGCGAGGGGGGGAGAGCAAGCGCCATGCAAGTAACCTTGCCGGATCCCTCCCCCCCAAAAAAACAGGCTCAGGGGGTCCGCCGATCCCCTCGGGCTGGCCCGGGCTCTGGAGCCGCCCGAGGCCGACTCCCCCCTTCCCGGCCTCCGCTGACCCGGGTTTGGTCATCGGGGGCAGAAAAGAGGGGGGTGATGACTAGGGGGGGGTGGATATCATGGCGGGGGCCATGATATTTCCCCTGATTTCATGGCGCCTCTTCTTACTTCATTACGTCCCTGGCCCCCCCGCTGGGCCGCGCACATGCCGCCGGTCATGATTTGCACCCCCCCCCCTTGGACACCCCCCTCTTGGCCGCTCCCGAGATCAGCGGCGCCCAGGGGTCATATTCCAGAGGCCTGCGCAGAGGCGCGGAGCAGGGGGCGTTGGGAAAAACAACGAAGGGCATTTTGCGCATATAACGTCGGCTCCGGTGAGCGCACGTGCAAGCAAGGCAACAGCTCATTCTTATGTTCGGTCGCGCCAGCACTGCCGCAGCGACGCGGCGCCCGCCGCAAAGTCATGGCGCCGCGGACGGGTACCCTGGGTTTCTTGATCAGCGTGGGAGGGTGCCCCCCCGACGGGGGTCAGCCTCGCCTCGTCGTCGCGCCGCGACGGGGGTCGGAGCGCCTCCGGCGCCCAGTGGCTGCCCGCGACGGGGGTCGATGCGGGGCTGTCGGCGGGGGTGACGCCCCCCCGGCGCTTCCTAAGAAACTCGGAGTATACACTATAGCGGATCCTCGGGAGAGTTGCGGGAAGCTGCCACTCGAGAGCCTTCCTCTGGCATGGCAGGGCTGCCCACGTCGGGGAGGGGTTTGGCTCGCCGTCGCTGGCCAAGGTCGCAGGCCTAGAGGTTGACACCAACACCAAGATCGGCGGTGTGCCTCCACCGGGGGAAGACGATCCCGATCTCGGTGATGGTGGTAATACTCTGGCTTCCAAGGTGACCGAAATAATTACCACCAACACCGAAATCTAGGATCATCTTCCCCCTATGGAGGCAAACCCCCTGTGTTGGTGCTGGTGCCCATTTCCAGGCCTCCAACAGGGTGCCCGCCCCGCCAGTGGGGTCCCCGCTGGAGGGGCGCGGAAGGCCGCTTCTGCCCCCCTCCGCCGGCCTCCGCCGGCCCGGGGTTGGGAGCTGCTGCGCGGTCGGCGGGGCTTCGCGGCGGGGCCTTGGCCGGCCCGGGTGCGGGCGGGCCCGGGCCAGGGGGCCACATGGCGAACCCTGCCCCTAGGGCCCCCACGATTTTTAAGGGGGAGGCGCTGGGTTCACCTCGCTCGTGAGCTCCCGCACGAAGTGAACCCCAGCCTCCCCCTCAGAAATCGTGGGGGGTGGGGCAGGGTTCGCATGCGGCCCCCCAAAGGGCGTCCCCGGGGCCAGCGGTCCCACCGCCGGGACCTCGGAGCGGCATCGGCCGCCAGGTGGCGCGGAGTCGGCCGAGTCTTGGACGGTCTCGTTTCCTCGCGTCCTCTTCTTCGGATGCAGCTCCTGGGAGGTCAAGTTCTGACTTGATCCCTGGTCCGAAAGCCGGCTGCATCGGGGTTCATCCTGATGAATCCTGCTCAATCCTGTTTAATCTGGCTAAATCCCGCTGAATTCGTGGCCTAGTCTTACATAGCAGCCCGCCCAATGGGACTTAGTTCTCCCAGTAGTTGCCTCCGAACTTTTCGTTATTCTTCCTGGTCCAGTTGCCGCGCCAGTGATTTGCAGCGTCGCGTCTGGACGCTCCACACGGTGCCAGAGGCCAGTCATAACCTGCAGTGCAGGCCTGTCAGAACCTCCAGTGCAGGTCACAGGGTCACAGGGGGTCGTTTGGAGATCCCTGCTCCCCCTCACCTCCATCCTCCGTTCTTCTCCTCCCTCCTCTCCCTCCTTCTGACACCTCCTCCTCCTCCTCCTCCTTCCTTCTGTTTCCTCCTCCGCTTCCCTCCTGTTCCTCCTCCTCCTCCTCCTCCTCCTCCTCCTCCTCATCCTCTTTGTCTTCCTTTCTCCATCAGCGCGGAACGATGGCTTGTTTCGAGGGATGGCGGCCTCGGGAATGCGGGCAACCCGTAGTTTTTGTACCAGGAGCCCGCCGCAGGCGAATTTTTTTCGTTCAGCCAACGTGGGTAGGTCGCGGGTGGGTCGCAAATGGGTCGCGGGTGGGTCGCGCGTGGGTCGCGGGTGCGTCGTTGTTGGATCGCGAGGGGTCGCGGGTGGGCCGCGGGTGGGTCGCGGGGTGGGTCGCGGGTGGGTCGCAAGTCGCAAGGGTCGCGGGTGGGTCGCAGGTGGGTCGCGATAGGTCGCGGGGTGGGTCGCGGGTGGGTCGCGGGGTGAGTCGCGGGTGGGTCGCGGGTGTGTCGCGGGTGTGTCGCGGGTGTGTCGCGGGGTGTGTCGCAGGTGGGTCGCGGGGTGGATCGCGGGTGGATCGCGGGGTGGGTCGTTGGGTGAGTCGCGGGTTGGGTCGCGGGATGGGTCGCGGGTGGGTCGCGGGTGTGTCGCGGGTGTGTCGCGGGGTGTGTCGCAGGTTGGTCGCGGGGTGGATCGCGGCTGGATCGCGGGGTGGGTCATTGGGTGAGTTGCGGGTTGGGTCGCGGGGTGGGTCGCGGGTGGGTCGCGGGTGGGACGACGACAACAAACAACAATAACAACGCAACAATCAGAATCTGTACCACGGACCCCCTTTTCAGCTAGTCACCGAGGGACTGATATGATGTTTAGGTATTCGTGTTTAGATTGCGCACTGCTCCGCGCGCGGCTAGATAACATCTGTTACGTGTCAGCTTGCTCGTGCTGACGTGATGACCATCACATTGTGGCAGTGCATCGCCCCCTCTCCCCGCACCGCATTCGTGACGTCTGTCTCAGCCGTTGGGCCATGCTGATTTCGCGTGTGCGCGGGCATATGTGATCACACCGCGATGTTGTGCAGCATTGTGCCATCATGCAGTTGGACATCGAGCCGTGCTGGGTCCATGCGCAGGGTCGCGTGTTCATGTTGCGTGTTCGCCCTTATCCGCCACCTCGTTCCTTAGAGTGTCACTGCTGTGCCTGTTGCCCCCGAGGTGAGGATGCTGCGCCTCCGCAGCCCCCTTGCAGTGGCGGCCCAGAGCGCCCCGCCGGAAGTGTCCCGTGTGCGCTCGGGGCCGCCGGGCGGAAGAGAGGCGACGGGGCGGGATATACTTTCCAGGGGAGTGGCCCATTCGCATCCTCGATCCTGCTGGGAGCGTCCTGCCTTGTGGCGGGGGCGTCCAAAACGCGGGCCTGTGCGAGAATAGAAGGAGTGGCTCGGAACATTCGCGAAATTCAGTCTCCCCCCAAGGTGGCCCCACTCTCATTGCAGATCCCCCGTCTCATCAAGGGCGACGGCCGATGGTACCCAAACAGTTGAACTGTAGGGAAGGACGACAATCTTGCCAACACCAATCCAAAACACAATGCCTTTTCAGAAGTCCCTGATATCGATGAGGAGGGGTACTTGGAGGAGTTCTGCCTTTTGCAAACGCCCACTGGATGAGTGTGCCGCGTGAAGGTCTGACGGACTTCAGGCCATGGATGTGTGACAGCTCTGGAATGTACAGCAGCGTTGCACTTTGTGGCTCTTGTTCTTCCATACTCACCCCTCACCCGCGCAGCCCATCTTGCCATCATTCCGCTCAGGCTGAAGAATGATGGTGGACGGCCCAGGATTTTCAGCTAAGCAGGTACAGTTAGGTTGTGGTAGGATTCCGTTAATCACAACGAAACACATTTTAAGCATAATTGAATCAAAATCCAACTCCGACTCAAGCTGAGCTCCAAGGGCAGCGTCCGTAAACCTATTTACAGCTACCAGTGCGGGTGCAGGTACAGCACCACATTCATTTTCAATTGCTACAAGTACCACTCGGACTACGTGCGACCATACTCATAACTACAACTGCATACACCCTGGCCCCCACCCCATCTCAACTCTAATAGTTCGACTCAAGCCTGTAAGGCTGTTCCCCATTTGTTCTCCTCCTCCTCCGTCCAAGCTCGCTTCCCCTTCCTCTCCTCCTCCACTTCCAGAAAACTAGAGAAGCCACAGATAAGCGTCGACAATCGCCCGAACACAGCAGAACAACTTCGAACACTTCCGAATCAATCCCCTCCCCTCACCCCTCCCCGAAAACATAGCTCAATGCCACAATGCGCAATATTCTCGGGACACTTACTGGCACTCAGATTTTGTTGGACGGGTAGTATGCGGAATCGAACATGAGAGCTACTCGGTTGGTATATTCATTGTATGCAAAACTTGAATGTCTTACATGGCTGCAATCAGAGACAGAGGGAGAGAGAAGTGAGAGAGAGAGAGAGAGAAAGAGAGAGCGCGAAAAACAAAAACATAGCGAGCGAGAGGGAGAGAGAGAGAGAGAGAAGTATAGAGTTGAAACCAAGTCGCACCATGAGCTACAGACTTGCACTGACCAGAGGTTGGGCCAAGTTGCATTGCGCTAGGTTTCGTATGGCTTACAGTCTACGGGCCCAGACTAACGCCGCAACATACACCAACGCTTGCGACCATTGAAGACATGGATCATCTAACGCTGGCGACTTCTCAAATCGCAACATACGAATGCGAGTGATTGTGGGGATGGCAACGCCATACATCGCGATGCCTAGAGGAACCGATGGAGTCAGAAGAACTGCGAGAGTAAGAACATACTGTGGCGGGCTGGGGTGGGAATGTGAGACCTGCGCTACTGCGAGACTCAAGGAACCTGATACAGTCAGCTCGTTGAAAGAAGGACCACTTCGGATTTCATGAGGGTCTCTGGTTTTTAGGCCGTCCCCTAGGTCAATGTCAGGGAACCGATTCGTGGCCTAGGCTCGCCGTGGCCAGAAGTAAAACATTCCGTTCCTTACATGGTTTTCATAACGGTAGTTGCCTATTGGGCGCTCCTAACAGTAGCAGTTGTTGTTTGGTAGAGCAAGCTCCGGATGCTTGGTTTAAATTTGGTTGGGATGAGGGGAAATTGACCGATGACTGTGAAGGCCTGACGGCCTGTGCCGCCGACCCTGAAAGACATCGACGACGACCAGGAGGGGGAGGAGGAGGAGGAGGAGGAGGAGGAGGAGGAGGAGGAGGAGGCGGAGATAAGGAGGAGGAGGAGGAGGAGAAGGAGGAGGAAAAGAATTCCCCCTGGACTTGGTTGTCATGAGGGGAAACTGACCGATGACTTTCGTCTGCGCGAAGAAGACTTCGTGCACGCGTCCTTCGGGCTCAACCAGCGATGCTTGAGGTTCCACAGCGCCGCGCCCGATTTCCTGGGCCGAGCCTGGCCTGCCTGCCTGCCCTGAGAGCGGCGGCGAGCCCCCGGGGGAAGTGCCAGGGGGCAGGCCTTCCAGAAGGCGGCGGGGCTGCTCGGAAGCCCTCGCGCCTTTGATCAGGCGATCGCCAACATGGATCAAGGGGGCGTGGATTTGCGACGGGTCCCGTTTCCATGGGAACTCACGGATTTCCGCCGCCGAGCGAGGCGGCACCGGCCGCATTTTGGGGAGGGCGCCTTCCCTTGTCCATGGGTTTGACGGCCGCGCGCCAAATCCACGCATCGCTACTCCGTGTTTGCGCGCCCCCGAGCTTCTCGGAAGCCCTCGCGCCTTTGCGAAGACTTGTGCGCCTTCTCCGAAGCCGCAGCGGCGCCTCAGAAGGCCTGAAAACCTCGAATTGCGGAACTCGGACGTGCCGATTTTTCCCACGGGGTTCGCCGCTGGTGAGAAGAAGTGGAGCTCGAGAGAAGATGCTGGGTCGAGAGTGCGGGAGAAGGCGGCCTAGTGGCGTTAGGGGGGGGCCCTCTTGCAGCCCCCACGCGCCGTGTTCCGGAGCACTGAGCACACTCGCGTCCAGACCCGATCTTTGCCCCCCCTCCTCGCTCCCCTCCTTCTGGATGCTTGGTGGTTGGGCCTTACGATGTGAAGTTCACGGTGGCCGGGCTGCTCATCGCGCTGCAGGTGCTTCGCGGGTTGTGGCTCCGCAGTGTTCAGGAAGGGAAGAGACACACAGACACATTTCATCGTCGATTCCCCAGAAGTGTGGAAAATCTGGGAAGTGGGGGGAATACTACAATTATTAATTGCCAAAGATTTCGAAATCTTGGGATTTGTGTGTATTTACATGTGTGTGGGTGTGTCCCTGGGCCCTCTCAATAGTGGATGGCTCACCTGTTGCATGGTTCGCACGTGGCCTGGCGCGACGGCGCGCTGCCTGCAGCTGCGCCGGGCGGGGCTCTGCGAGGAGACGCCCGGCGGCTCGCGGCGGCCTCCCCTCGGCGAGGAGCGCGCGCGCCGCGCGCGGGGGCGCGTCGGGCCCCCGTGGGCCAGATCGCCACCCTCCTCAATTCTAAACGCTTGGCATCGCTCGGACGTGTGCATGTTTCCTTCGGCGAGGACCATCGAGGAGCATCCTTGATCATTTGGCGAAGAAACCACGCACGAAACCGAAAAAAACACAGGGAATGGACGTCCGAGCAATGGCCAGAACGTTGCTTCTTTTCCGCGCGTGCCAGCTGTAGTCCAGGCTTCTGCCCCGTTCCGCTTAGGCCTGGCCTTCGATCGGCTTGCCGACGCCGCGCGGCCGTCCTCCGCTAGCGGTCGGTAAACAACAGTATTCCCACCAGGTTTGGCTGCGCTGATCCCAGCTTCTGAGCCGAGCGCCGCTCTCCTCGCTGTTGTTTCCTTTGCTTCGGCGCGGCCCGCCCTAGCTTTGCCCGGCCTTGGACTTGTTTTGCCAGCCCATCCAGAAACGATGCCCATGAGAGCTGACGGGGAGAGAGGGGAAGCTATGCGTGAGGGGTGGCAGAGAGCGGCACTCCCAGTGGCCGAAAAACGAGCCTCTCGACACCTCGCGATCCCTCCCAAGAAATTTCGGGGATTGCGAGGGGAGGCTTCCCCTCCCCGAAGGGAAGAGCCAGGCTATCGCCAACATGGATCAAAGGGGGCGTGGATTTGCGACGGGTCCCGTTTCCATGGGAACTCGCGGATTTCCGCCGCCGAGCGAGGCGGCACCGGCCGCATTTTGGGGAGGGCGCCTTCCCTTGTCCATGGGTTTGGCGGCCGCGCGCCAAATCCATGCATCGCTACTCCGTGCTTGCGCGCCCCCGAAAGAGGGGCTGTGGACGAGGACCTTCGTCAAGCCACCCGTCGCCCACAGGGCTGGCGGGATCTCCGGGTGGGGCACGGCCGACGCGCTGGCGTCCACCTGTCCCGCGCGCTGATCCGCGCTCTCGTCGTTAAGCCGGGCCTGTCCCTCTACAAGAGGAGCGTGCCAAAGTAGTCAACAAATAGTCCCGGGACGATTTCCCGACGAGTCCCGATTATTATTCGAGGCTTTTTGCTGTTGATTTTTTCGTCCCAAATCCGCCTGTAGGGGGATCTGCCCGACCGAACCTCATCGGCGATCGCTCCTCCCCCTTCCTTGCCGCTGCGGCAGCTCGTCGACGACAGCTTCGTTTTGCAACCCGGCGGGATTGGATTGCTGCGGGCTGGCGCTGGCTGGGGCGCGTTGTGCGCGGGGGTGCGGGGGTCCGCGCTGTCAGCCAGCTCGAGGTCTTGGGCATCCCGGTGGACGCGGAGCTCTCCTTGGATCCGCTCCTGACACGCATCTTTGCTATGCCCCGGGACGCTGCGCGACGTTTGACGGCCGCCCTCACGGGCCAAGGACTCGGCCTTCCGATGGTCGTTGGTGAGGTTCCGGCCCGCGTCGACGCCGCCGCGCTGAATGGCACGGGGCTGTTTTGCGAGGCTCCCAAGGGTGCCCCAAGAGGGCCCCAAGAGGTGGCCAGGATGCCCCAAGAGGCTCCCGAGAGACCCCCAAGAGGCTCCAAGAGGCCCCCCAGAGGCACCCAAGACGCTCCACGAGGCTTCGGCGAGAATGCCAAAATCACTGACACTACTCTCCGCTCTCCCCTGGTGACGTCCGGGAAATGTTCGGACCCCCTCCGCGTAGTGTTTTTTTACACCGGATCCCCAGGAAACGGGTTTTCGCTTTTTCAAAATGCTGCTCTCACTGAATTGCTGACCTCATTTTCGGGCTACTGCTCGTTCCGAATCGTGTTCCCGCCGCAGCGCTGGTCTCATTTCCGCGCTTCCCCTCGCTTTGAATCGTGCTCCCGTTGCAGCGTTGGCGTCATTATTTCCAGCGACATGCCAAGGCATGGTTGTCGGCCAATCAGATAGGCCCCCAAATCTAGAAAATGGCCCCCCGAAACAACCATCGGAGGTGATTACACATCCAGTGTCGATTCGTTGATTTTTTGGGGTCGCAGAAGCCCCACCTCCCACCTGTGGGCCGTCACCACGCCATGCTATGTCAGGCTACGCGTCGATCTTCAACACAACGCTATGCCAGGTACTGCTACGCCCTGCTACGACATCCGACTGTGCGAGTCGAGAGGAGATCTACAACAGGGGTGGGGGGTGGGGCAGGACGTCAGACATGACGCGAGCGCACCTGGCTTGCCCTTCTCCCTCTCCTTCCTCCTCCTCCTCCTCCTCCTCCTCCTCCTCCTCCTCCTCCTCCTCCTTCCTCCTCCCTGACATCGCCCCCCCCTCCCTCGCCTCAGTGCGGGCGACGACCCCTCTCTCCCTCCCTCCCTCCCTCCCCCGTCTTCCTCTTCCCCCCCTCCCCTATTCCTCCTCCTCCCCATCTTTCCTCCTCCCTCCCCTCTTCTTCTTCCTCCTCCTCCTCCTCCTCCCCCCTCCCTCCCTCTCCTTCCTCCCTCCTCTTCCCCCCCCTCCTCCTCCTCCTCCTCCTCCCTCCTCCTCCCCCCCTCCTCCTCCTCCTCCTCCTCCTCCTCCTCCTCCTCCTCCCTCGTCCTCCCTCCTCCTCCTCCTCCTCCTCCTCCTCCTCCTCCTCCTCCTCCTCCTCCCATGCTCCTCTCCCTCCTCCCTCCTCCCTCCTCCCTCCTCCCTCCTTCCTCCTCCTCCCCTCCTCCTCCTCCTCTCCCTCCTCCTTCCTCCTCCCTGACCCCCCCCCCCCCTCCCTCGCCTCAGTGCGGGCGACGACCCCTCTCTCCCTCCCTCCCCCCTCCCCCGTCTTCCTCTTCCCCGCCTCCCCTATTCCCTCCTCCTCCCAATCTTTCCCTCCTCCCTCCCTCTTCTTCTTCCTCCTCCTCCTCACCCTCCTCCCTCCTCTCCTTCCTCCTCCTCTTCCCCCCCTCCCTCCTCCTCCTCCTCCTCCTCCTCCTCCTCCTCCCCTCCTCCTCCTCCTCCGCTCCTCCTCCTCCTCCTCCTCCTCCTCCTTCCTCTCCTCGCCTCCCTCCTCCTCCTCCTCCTCCTCCGCCTCCTCCTCCTCAGCTCCTCCTCCTCCTCCTCCTCCTCCTCCTCCTCCTCCTCCTCCTCCTCCTCCTCCCTCCTCCCCTCCTCCTCCTCCTCCTCCTCCTCCTCCTCCTCCTCCTCCTCCTCCTCCTCCTCCCTCGTGCTCCCCCGCCCTCCCTCGCCCCCACTGCGGGCCACGAGCCCCCCCCCGGGCCGCGGCCCGCAGGAGGGGGACCCGCCCTCCAGCCGCGCGGCCCCCCCGCCCGCCCCTCGCCGCCAGGCGGCGCCCGGCGCGTCGCCCTCGCCGTCGCCGCGGCTGAAGTGCGGCTCCCAGGCGGACGCGGGGGGGGGCGCCCTCGGGTCGTCGTCGTCGGCGTCCTCGTCGTCGTCCTCGTCCTCGTCCTCGTCCTCGTCCTCGTCGTCCTCGTCCTCGTCTCCTCGTCCTCGTCGTCGTCCTCGTCGTCGTCCTCGTCCTCGTCCTCGTCCTCGTCGTCGTCCTTCTCATCCTCCTCCTTCCCGTCGTCGTCATCGTCTCCGTCCGTGCATGCGGGGGCGCGCGGGGTGGGATGGGGAGGATGAGGACAGGGGACAGGAGGGGCAGTGGGAGGAAGATCGGATGAGGGAGGGCGGACGCGAGGGAGGAGGGGCGAGGTTTAGGAGGAGGTGTATTGAGCAGGGCGAGTGAGGAGTCGGATGAGGACGAGGAGGAGGAGCAGGGATGATTACTGATAATGATGAGGAGGAGGAGGATCATACTTTTAAACACCATCGACCAGTGACCTCAAGTCAACGAGGAAATCAAATAATACCATGCAGATCACCATGAATGCGAAAAGCGGCCGCGGAGAGCGACAGGAAGCAGCGACGAAGCGCGGGACTACATGCGATGCCCGTTATTGCAAAACGACCGTCTCTCAGAACATGCGCACACACAGTGATTTCGTAAACAGTTTGGCTCCAGTAGTTCTTTCTGGTACAGGCCGCAGTGCCGGGCTATTTCTGCCATGGAGGGGCGTGTCCGAACAAGCTGGATGCGGTCCACCGCGAGCCCCACCATCCATTTGCAGAGGCGGTGAGCATGGGTTACAGCAACACGGAACAGTTGAATACGGTGGGGGCGTTGGTTGAGGAATGTGCCCAGGAGGCTTCAGATCTATGGGGGGCCCGCGTGCTTGATTCACGGGGCCGCGTGGGGCGAAGCCTGGCGATATGCGCTCACAGAGGCAGGCGAACGTCCGCGAACCATTCGGTCAGGTGCACATTTCGACTTATCAAGTACCAGGCAGGCACACATGCACACTGACAACGCTTATGCCTCGAGGGGTCCCGACTTCACTGGGTCCATCCGTGGGACCCTCTCGCGGCCCCGTAGTGGCTCTCGTTGGTGCCTTGTGGGGGCACTCCTAGGATCTCTCGGGGCACCTCTGGGGCTTCTTGGGGTCATCTTGTGGTCCCGTCGGGCAGGGCCTTTTCTGGGATTTCTGCGGGTGGGCCGTCTTGTTTTTTTTTGTGGGGCCATTTCGAGGCGATCTTGGACCGTGCTGCGCCAGCCTGGAGGCCATCAGGGGCCATCCTGTGGGCGCTTTGGGCCATCTTCGGCGTCACCCCAACATGCTAATACTACGTGAGCGCCGCCCCACAAGGGGCGACGCGGGCACCGAGAAATATCATTGTACACGCGTCGTGGCCGGCGCTTTCTGGCCACACCGCTCGGGAAACGATATACTACAAGATGGGTATACTATATGTTCGGGTCGGACACGCCTCCAAGGAGGACGTATGGTATTAGTATGCCTTTGTGCGTCCCACATCTTGGGGGCACGCTGGAGCAGAGGCCACTGGGTTCAGGAGGACATCCGGTCTTCGGGCCGTTCCTGACGTCTAGGTCCCTGATCTTCCAGAGAGCTATTTTTTAGCACTGGAGGCATAAACACCTAAAAAGCTAAGCGAAACTGCCTAAAACCAAGACGTAGAATAGCTCTAGGATAGGTTTTTAGGTCGGGTGCTATTTTTTAGCCCTCCTGGAAGGTCAGGGGTGGGGGGGACCTGTTCGTTGCCGAGGCTCGCCGCCACCCAGGAAAGCCCGCGCGTTCCTCATTCGGCGCTCCGAGTATGGTACAGGGGAGGCCCATGCCAAGAAACACCCTGCTTGCCTCCATGGTGCCCCGGGGGTTCCTTGGGTTTCGATGGTTTTTCTTTGGAAGGCGCGATGCTCCCGCTCCAAAAATCGATGGACGTCCTGGGGTCTTCAGGGTTGGGTTTCTTGTGGAAGGTTTCTTGGGGGCACGCTGAAGCAGAGACCACTGGGTTCAGGAGGACATCCGGTCTTCGGGCCGTTCCCGACGTCCAGGTCGGGGGGGGGGACCTGCTCGTTGCCGAGGCTCGCCGCTGCCCAGGAAAGCCCCCGCGCGTTCCTCCTTCGGCGCTCCGTGTGGTTACAGTGGAGGCCCATGCCAAGAAACACCCTGCTTGCCTCCACGGTGCCCCGGGGTTCCTTGGGTCTCACTGGTTTGTCTTCTCGGGGGCGGAAAAGAGGGGGGTGATGACTAGGGGGGGGTGGATATCATGGCGGGGGCCATGATAGTTCCCCAGATTTCATGGCGACTCTTATTATTTCATTACGTCCCTGGCCCCCCCGCTGGGCCGCGCACATGCCGCCGGTCATGATTTGCACCCCCCCCTCTTGGACACCCCCCTCTTGGCCGCTCCCGATCTTTGGAAGGCGCGATGCTCCCGCACCAAAAATCTATGGACGTCCTGGGGTCTTCAGGGTGGGGTTTCTTGTGGAGGGTCTCTTGTGGACCGGCCTCCACCGTACGGCAGCGCGGGGATTGGTCTGTGGGCGACCCGGGCTCTGTTTGGCGTGGCGACCACGGGGGAGGGCGCGACGGGGGGGGCCGTTCTAAGAGTGCGAGGGGTTTCTCGGAGGGCTCCTCAGAAGCCGCGAGAGGGCTGCTACAAAGCCCTCCTGCCTCCCTAAAAGCCCTCGCGCCTTCTTAGGAGGCCGCCTCCTTCGGGCCACCGCCATGTGCCCGCCGCCAATCTCTACGGTTAAGTCGGGCACGTCCCTCTACAGGAGGAATATTAAAAAATAGTCAAAAAATAGTCAGGGTACGATTTGTTTTGTTTGTTTACCATTTTTTAAAATCATTTTAGTATTTTTCATTTTTCGTCCCAAATCCCCCTGTAGGAGGACAGGCCCGACTTAACTCTACGGTGGCGGTGAGGCCCATTCATGCGATGCCCTGATTCTCTCAGCGCGCCGCGCTTCCCTGAAACTTCCCGGCCCGCTCCCCAGAGCTGGCTTTCCATCCCGAGTCGTCGTCGTCGTCGTCGAATGAGGAGGAGGAGGAGGAGGAGGAGGAGGAGGAGGAGGAGGAGGAGGAGGAGGAGGGTCCCAGGGCCTTGCGAGGGCCTCCAGCGGCCGAAGGTGGAGAAGATATTCCGCAATGATTTTTTTGTTGTCCACGGCGCCGGCATGTCTGGGCGTGCGCGCCGCCGATCTCTTCGGGAGGGGGGGAGGAAGCACCGAGCGCGTGCCACTGCTCGCAAAGGTCCCTACTCGCAAACGTCCGACCAGCATTTGTTTGCCTCGATGCGCATCGTAAATCCCCCGCGGCGGATCTAGGCCATTTGCGAGTAGTTACTTTACTCGCAAACGTCCGACCAGCATTTGTTTGCCTCGATGTGCATCGTCAATCCCCCGCGGCGGATCTGGGCCATTTGCGAGTAGTTCCTTTTGCGACTGGTGGAGCTCGCTTTGTCTCAGGAGGGCGACGAGGACGGGGAGGGCGTGGAGGAGGCCGGCGGGGGAGCGGGCGAGCTGGGCCGGGGCCACCAAGAGGTTGCCGCCGCCATCGGCCACTTCGAGTGCCGAGTGCTGGCGACGGCGTCCCCCATCGCGGAGGCGTCCGAGCGCCGCCCTCAGCGACGATCCAGCGGATCCAGACATGCGACAATGTTTTTTTCATTCCCAGTCTTTTCCTCGATTGCTCGAAGAACGAGAAGAAAAACGCCACAAGCATAAACTTTTGGCGCTCCGCGCGGATCGGCGCATGGGCCCCCTTGGCGGCGCCTCCGGTGCGGCCCCTGGCGCGCTCCGCGCGCCAGGGAGGGGGGTCTAGCGCGGATCCAAGAAAATCTCGTGAAACGCCATACGTTTATGTTTATTTCGTTTTTGTTATCCAGATTTCGGCCTATGGGGTCCGTTATCGGGCCTCGTGGCTAGCAAAAGTCGATCCAGAGCGAGAAGTTACACCCAGGCAAGGGGTCCATCCAAACGCTTGTGGCCGCGAACTGAAAAAAAATCAAATCGGCGGATGTCAGATCAGCTCTTGGAGCCGGCTCAGTGGACCTTGGAAACAGCAGGTCCGTTTGATGTTGTGGATTAAGTCTTTCCGTTGTTTCCCCCCAAACAGTGCTTGCATTCAGGGGCTTTTATTTCCCAAGAGGTGCTTGCACTTCGGGAGATTTCTGGTCTAAGGAATGGGGCTGGCGTGCCGCTCTGGTGGTTATGTTGTCGCCGTCGTCGTCCCGTCGCCGCCTCGTCGCCGCCCGTCGTCTGGGCCAGTGTGCCGCTCTGGTGGCTTTGCTGTCGCCGTCGACGTTCCGACGCCGCCTCGTCGCCACCCGTCGTCTGGGTCACTGTGGAGGTCTGGCAGCTATGTTGTCGCCGTCGCCGCCCCGTCGCCGCCTCGTCGCCGCCCTAGATATCCCAAACAGAGTATTCGGATGTCCCCCTATCTGGACTTAACAGGCTTCGCTTCCGTACTACAGTTTATATATGATAGTCCCACCGTCCATCCTAAGTATGAACTCGTACCATCCCTGGCAGGCTGGTATTGCCCACCCCCCCTCATCCACGCAAAAGATTTCATGCGCGCGCATTCGTTTATCAAACATCGTTTATAACAAAAAACTCATCAAATTCGAGGAATCCCTTGCAACAGCGGGACGAAGTGCGCGCGCGCGCGTCGTCGCGCGCGCATGCCGAAATCCTTCGAACATTTCGGGCTTCGCAAAGATTTCAAAATCGAGTGCCACGAAAACATACAACACATAAATGGTTTCGCGACACGGATTTTCAAGAAAAGTTTGTTATCCGGCTCTTGCAGAGTCTTGGGAAGACCATCGATGTTTCAATATTTTTGTAAAGTGCTGCCAAACGGGCCTCTCGCGCGCGCATGTCGAACTCGTTCGAAGGCCTTTGCGCGTGCTGTCGCAAAAATCCTTCGCCAAAAACGGTGTTTAAAAAGCCTGTGCGCGCGCTCTTGCGAATTGCTAAGAAAACCATGCGTTCTTCAACGTTGTCATCACATTCTGTCGAACGGGCCTCTCGCGCCGCATGTCGAACTCATCCGGCCGCCCTTGCGCTCGTGGTGGGGGGTCAGCATCCGTGTTCAACAATCTCACGTGGGCCACTCGCGCGCGTCGGCCGCGCGCGCATGTCGAACTCCTTCCTCCACCTGCATGACCGACGCGAGGACATCGTTATCGTTATCGGCGGGCGTCATCATCACCGGCGCCGTCATCGGCCTTGCCGTCGTCATCGCCACCGTCGTCACCATCATAGCTACTCTCATCATCGTGTCTACCGTTGTCGGCGTCGCCATGATACCGCGCCCGTCCAAGTCACTGACTCGCACTGAAGTGCCCGCCTGTCTGTATGCATGCATTCATCCATGCACGTATGTATGTACGTAGGTATGTATGCATGCATGCACGCATGCATCTATGTCTGTACGTATGTATGCATACATGCATGTGTGTATGCATGTATGAAGTGATGCATACATGCATGTTTGAATTTCTCTGTATGCATACATGTACCTGCTCCTGTCCCTCCTTCTGCTCTCCTCCCTCGTCCTCCTGTCCTCCCCCTCTGTGCCACGTCTCTGGCGCACCGTCCCCGTGACATCTGCCGGGCCTCCGGCGCGCCGTGGCGCCGTGGCATTTGACAGGTCCCGGGCGCAGGCTCCGTGTCGCCGGCGGGGGCTCGGGCGGGGCCAGGGCGAGGAGAAGTCTGGGGAGAGGAGGGGAGGAGGAGGGGGAGGGGGAGGAGGACGAGGAGGAGGAGGAGGGGGAGGGGGAGGAGGAGGGGGAGGAGGGGGAGGAGGAGGAGGAGGTTTTCGTCGGAAAGATGTACGGGACTTATGCGCACCATATCCGTTACAGCCTTCGGCCTGCACTGGTTGTGCGCATAGGCCGATGTCCGCCTTTACGGGCCGTGCCTTCGGCTTCACCCCGCCGGCGAGGACGACAGGAGTTTGTGCCGTGGGCGTTTTGGCGGGCAGCTCCCTTGGATGGGCAGCGGATCTTCCTCTCGTTCAGTACGTCGTGCTTCTTTTTTGCTGTGATTTCAGGGCCCATTGGAACACTCTGCACGCGGGCACGTGCGGGTTAACGGCTTCCTTCCGCTGCTCCGTTTGACGCTGTTGCGCAGCCTTGCGGTGTTGCGTTGGGGGATGGAAGAAATGTATGCGTGTACGTATGTGTATATGTATGTAGGCATGCGTGTATATGTGTGTATGCATGTGTGGAATTGCGCATGTATGTAGGTAGGTAGGTGGGTAGGTATGTCGGTCGGTATGTATGTGCGTATGTATGTACGCATGCATGCATGGATGCATGCATGCATGCATGCATGCATGTATGTGTGTAAGCATGCGTGTGTGCATGTATGTATGTTCGTACTTATGTATGTAGGTATGTATGTATTGATGGTGGTGTTGATGTATGTATGAGTGGATGCGTGTATGTATTGATGCATACATGGTTGTATGTATGTATGTATGTATGTATGTATGCATGTATGTATGTATGTATGTATGTATGTATGTATGTATGTATGTATGTGTGCATGCACGTATGTATGCATGTAGTTATGTGTGTATGTATGCATGTATGCAGGTATGCATGCATGCATGCATGCATGTATGTATGTCTGCATTAATGTATGCAAGTATGTATGTATGCATGCGTGTATGTATGTATGTATGGATGGATGGATTGATGGATGTATGTATGTATGTATGTATGTGTGTATGCATGCATGCATGCATGCATGCATGTAGGTATGTATGGATGTATGTGTTTATGTATGTATGTGTGTATGTCTGTATGTACGTACGTACGTATGTATGTATGTATGTATGTATGCATGCATGTATGTATATGTGTGTATGTATGTATGTATGCATGCATGCGTGTATGCGTGTATGGATGCGTGCATACATGTATGTAGTTAGGTGTATGCATGTTTGTGCACGTGTGTGTATGTATGTATGTGTATGTATGGATGTGTATGCATGTGTGTATGTAGGCATGTAGGTAGTTGTGTAGGTATGTGTATGTATGTATGCAGGTATGCATGTATGCACGTACGTATGTATGTATGGATGCCCGCATGCATGCATGCATGCACGAATGCATGTATGTATGCGTATGTGTGTGTTTGTGTATGTATGTGTATGTAGATATGTAGGTCTGCAGGTATGTATGCATGTAGGTATGTAGGTATGTAGGTATGTCGGTATGCATGCATGCATGCATGCATGCATGCGTGTATGTATGTATGTATGTATGAATGAATGTATGTATGTATGTATGTGTATGTATGTGTACGTATGTGTGTGTATGTATGGGTGTGTATGTATGGAATGCATGCATGCATGCATGTATGTATGTATGTATGTATGTACGTATGTACGTATGTACGTATGTACGTATGTACGTATGTATGCCTGTACGTATGCATGTATGTGTGTACGTATGAATGTATGCAAGTTTATACGTATGCATGTATGTATGTATGCATGCATGCATGTATGTATGCATGCATGCATGTATGTATGTATGCATGCATGTATGTATGTATGTATGTATGTTTGTATGTATGTATTTAGGTACGTGTGTAGATCCGCATGTATGTATGTATAGGTGTATGTATGTAGGGTTCGCCTCCTCTCCCTTACTCCTCATCTCCATTCCCCGTCTCTCATCCCTCCCTCCTCCTGCGCCCTCCGCCCCCTCCTCCTCATCCTCCTGCTCCTCCTCTCCCTCCCTCCTCCTCTTCGTCTTATTCGTCCTCCTCTTCCTTCTTCTCCTGCCCTGCTGCTCATCCCTTTTCCTTCCTCCTTCCCCCGCCTTCCCCTCATCCTCCCTCCTGCGTTTCTCCCCCCTCCTCGTCCTCCTCGTCCTTCTTCTTCTCCTCCTCCTCCTCCTCAGCATCCCGGCTCCTCCCCTTCCTCCCTCCAGGCTCAGTCAGCTTTGAGCCTCAGCAGCCCGACATTTTGACCCTACCTCCTCCTCCCTCTTTCTTCCTCCTCCTTCCTCTTCCTCCTCCTCTTCCTTATTCGTCCCCTTCCCCGCCTCCTCCTCCTCATGCTCCTCCTCCTCTTCCTTCCTCCTCCTCCTCCCTCCTCCTCCTCCCTCCTCCTCCTCCCCTCCTCCCCCCTCTCTCCTCTTCTTCTTCCCCCTCCTCTCCTCCTTTCCCTCCTCCTCCCTCCTCCTCCTCCTCCTCCTCCTTCTATACCTCCTCCTCTTCTCCTCCTCTCCTCATCCTATGCCTCCTCCTGCTTCTCATCCCACTTCCCCCTTCCCCCTTCCCGCCCCCTCCCGCCTCCCCTTCCTCCTCCCTCTTTCGTTCCTCCTCCTCCTCCTCCTCCTTCCCCCCTCCTCACCCCCCCTCCTCCCCCTCCTCAGCATTCCTCTTCCTTCCCCTCCTCATTCCTGGCCCAGTCAGCCCTCAGCCAGAACATTTCGACCCTTCCTTCTCCCTCCTCCTCCTCCTCCCTCCTTCTCCTCCTCCCCTCCTTCTCTTCCTCCTCCTCCCTCCCTTCTCCTCCTCTCCTCCTCCTCCTTCTCCTCCTCCTCCTCCTCCTCCTTTCCTCCTCTCTCCCCCTCCTCCTCCTCCTCCTCCTCCTCCTCCTCCTCCTCCGCCTCCTTGTTTTCTTCGTCGTCGTCGTCCTCCCCCTCCTCCTCTCTCCTCCTCCTCTCGCCTCCTACTCCGCCTCTTCCTCCTCCTCCCTCCTCCCTTCTCCTTCCAGGCTCAGTCAGTCCTGAACCGCATCAGCAAGACGTCCCGAGCCTCCCTCCAACCGCCGCCACATTCCTGGAGCCCCTGGGGCCGTCTGCGGGCCCCGGGGGTCGCTCGAAGCCGCCTTCACGGGGGCGAGAACCAGGTCCCAGGGAATGGGGCGAGGGCTCCAGGAGCCATGCCATGTGTCTGACAAAGAGGTCGTCGTTTTTTATCCATTGTTTTGCCGATCGGCGCGGGCTTGCGCACCCCTCTCTCTCTCTCTCCCCCCCCCCATGGAGAAGATCTTGGCTGTTTTTTGGCGCCTGTCTCAGGCAGGTGGAGTCTCCTCCACAGGACGCACTGCCGCAGGCAGTCCCGCTAGGCAGAGGTCCAGAGCCAGGCCGCCCCCCTCCCCCGCCCCCTCCCTTTCCGTCCAGTGCCGAGGCGCCGAATAGGAACAAAAACGCTCACGAGGCGCGGGCGTCGTTGCCATCGGGCCGCCGATCGATCGGGCTCGGGCTGGTCGATCGATTGCCATCCCAGCGCGCGTGGTGCACCTCGGTCCTCCTCCTCCTCCTCCTCCTCCTCCTCCTCCTCCTCCCATCCTCCTCCTATCCTCCTCCTATCCTCCTCCTCCTCCTGCTGCTCTCCCCCTCCTCCTCCTCCCCTCCTCCTCCTCCTCCCCTCCCTCCCCCCTCCTCCTCCTCCTCCTCCTCCTCCTCCTCTCCTCCTCCCCCTCCTCCCCTCCTCCTCCTCCTCCTCCTCCTCCTCCTCCTCCTCCTCCTCCTCCCAGCCTAGGAGGAGGAGGAGCTGGAGCAGGAGCAGGAGGAGGAGGAGGAGGAGGAGGAGGAGGAGGAGGAGGAGGAGGGGGCTGGAGGAGACGGAGCGGAGCACGGAGCACGCCGCGGTTCGCCTCGGGCTGCGAGCGGGGCGCCCCCCCTGAGGTGTACTTCGAGCTCCGGGGGTCAGCCGTCCGTGGACGAGCAGGACCCCTTCGCGCCGAAGCAGGCCCTCGTCGCACCCGCCCCTTGGCTCGGAAGCCTCGGATGCCCAGTGGTTGACGCCGACGCCAAGATCGGCGGTGCGCCTTCACCGAGGGAGGATGCTCCTGACCTCGGCGATGGTGGCAATAGTCGGGCTCTCTAAGAGGCCGAACTATTGCCACCAGCGGCAAAACCTAGGATCACCTTACTCCTGTGGGGGCAACCTCCTGTGTTGGTGTTGGTGCCCACTTCCAGGCCTCTAAAAGTCGGCATAGACCCCTCCCGCCCCCCCCCCCCCCTTGCCAAGTGGCGAGCAGCGAGTTGCCCCGTCGCGGTTCTCGAGGGGGCGTGTGGGCCGCAATTGTCGCGGGCTTGGGGCCGCCGGGCCTGGCCCCCAGCCGTCTTCGTTTAGGGCTGCTTTCCTAAAGCGGATCTGATCCAGCGACGACGACAGCGACGACGACGACGACGACGAGCGACGAGCGATGACGACGACGACGCTTCCGACTTGCCGGGGCCCCCGGTAGGTTGGGCAGGCCGTAAGTCGTTCCTGGAGGCGCTTCGGGGCAGGACAGGAGAGGGAGCCCCCAGGCCCCAGCGGAACGGGCGGCCTGTGCGGCGTAGGTGCGTGGACTCGCGGTGCTAATCAATATATATATATATATGTGTGTGTGTGTGTGGAAATGTTGCTGGGATTACCGTGCTTAGTTGCAGAGCAGGTGCGTGCGCCTGCAAGAGGACATGCAGGTGCACACTTGAGTATTGTGCGGCCCACACGGTTCCTCATTGCACGAGAACGGCAAGAACAATGTCGTCATTCCAGCAGTGTGTTTTAAGATGTACCGACGGGGTGCACAGGTATCCAATACGCATGACTAGTCACGCTCCCTTCGGCTTTCCGATATTGAAGCACCCTTGCGCAGGAGCATGTGAGTTTTCGAATCATACTTGTGATGTCTGGCATCGGTGTGGTGGTGGAGGCATTGATGCTTCCACTTAGGAGGAGGAGGAGGAGGAGGAGGAGGAGGAGGAGGAGGGCGAGAAGGAGGGAGGACAAGCTAGGTGCGCGCGCCATATCTGGAATCCGACCCCTTCGCCCCTGGAGGTCTCCTTCGCGTCTCGGGCGGCCGCTCCAGGCTACTTCAAGCGCCTTCCTGCCTCAAGAATCGGTGCACTGTTGCTGTGCTTTGTGATTCTCTGGGCGGGCCCGAAGCCAATCTACTTGATCCGCCTTCCTACTTCCTATGTTTACCTACTTCTTCCGACCGAAGCGTGCCCGTCCCTCGGTTTCCCCTTTTTCGGCCTCCTTGGAGGCCCTCGTCGCCACCGCTGGATCCGCCTCGAAATTCTGGTCAGAACGCGCCCCGGGAGAGGTCCAGGGAGCAGCGGTATCGGTATCGTTTTTTTTAGGTTCCCCCCAGGGCGCTCTCGGCGAAGCGCAGCTGCTGGAAGGCGCCACGAGGCTGGGACACCGCCGAGAAGCCATGAAGAAGCCCGCAACCCAGCCCTTACACGCACGTGCTGGAACACAACGCGTACCGTGTTCCACCCGTCTCGCGCACGTGTTGGCTCACGTCTGGGCGAACGCATCGCGCCAGACCCACGCCTTCAGTCCACGTGTTGAGCTCCGTGGCCACCACGCTACGCGTTGCTTGTTGCGTATGGTGGCAGCTGGGGCCCGAATGCCTCGAATCTCGAACCTCTAAGCCTGACGTTGCAAACCGTGGGCCCCGCGAGGAGGCGGAGCCCGCGGCTTCGCCCTCCGCGGAGGACGAGGAGGAGGAGGAGGAGGAGGAGGAGGAGGAGGAGGAGGAGGAGGAGGAGGAGGAGGAGGAGGAGGAGGGGGAGGAGGAGGAGGAGGGGGAGGAGGAGAGGAGGAGGAGGAGCGGAGGAGGAGGAGAGGAGGAGGAGGGGGGGGGGGGGGAGGAGGGGAAGGAGGGGGAGGAGGAGGAGGAGGAGGAGGAGGAGGAGGAGGAGGAGGAGGAGGAGGAGGAGGAGGAGGAGGAGGAGGAGGAGGAGGAGGAGGAGGAGGAGGAGGAGGAGGAGGAGGAGAAGGAGGAGGTGCCCGCGAGGAGGCGGAGCCCCCGGCGGCGCCGTCCGCGGAGCAAGACGCCCGCGGGCCGCCGCGACCCGCCGCGCCGCGCGCGGAGCCGCCGGTGCCGCGGCTGGCCGGGCTCGGCGGCCTGGCTGGCGCGGCGTCGGGGAGTCCGCGGGCGGCTCAGCAGCTGGGGGCGCTCCTCGCCGCCCGTCGGCGTCGTCGTCGTGGTCGTCGTCGTCGTCGTCGTCGTCGTCGTCGTCGTCGTCGTCGTCGTCGTGAGCATCGTCGTGGTCGTAGTCTTCGTCGCCGTGCGTTGTTGCGCGTCGTCGTCGTCGTCGTCGCCGTGCGTTGTTGCGCGTTGTTGTTGTTGTTGTTGTTGTTGTTGTTGTTGTTGTTGTTGTTGTTGTTGTTGTTGTTGTTGTTGTTGTTGTTGTTGTTGTTGTTGTTGTTGTTGTTGTTGTTGTTGTTGTTCTTGTTGTTGTTGTTGTTGTTGTTGTTGTTGTTGTTGTTCGCGAGGACACTACTGGAGGCTCGTTGCTCCCCCCCCGGGGCAACAACTGCAACGTGTGGCCTGGGGCAGTGCGCTCGCCCCGGGGGCGAGGTCACACCCACGGGCCCCGCCGGGGTGGCCTGAGAGAGTGTCCTTGCGTTGTTGTTGTTGTTGTTGTTGTTGTTGTCGTCGTCGTCGTCGTCGTCGTCGTCGTCGTCGTCGTCGTCGTCGTCGTCGTCGTCGTGTTCGTCGTCGTCGTTGTTGTCGTGGTCGTCGTCGTCGTCGTCGTCGTCGTCGTCGTCGTCGTCGTCGTCGTCGTGCGTTGTTGCGCGTCGTCATCGTCGTCGTCGCTGTCGCCGCGCGTCGTTGCGCGTCGGCTTCGGGCGTCGCCGTCGTGGCCGATGCGTGCGGCGGCCCGCAGGCGCGGCGGCCGACCAGGCGTGCTGCGCGTGCGGCGGGGGTCAGCACGAGCCCGGAGCGTATCCGCATCCGCGCCCCTGCTGTCCGGATTCCGGGGCGCGGCCCCGCGGGCGCGCGGTCGCACGGGTGCGTTCCGCGCGGGGCATCCGCGAGCAAAGCGCTCTCCGCGTCTGCGGCGTCGCGGTCCAGGGACCCAGCCCGCGAGGCCGCGGTGTGTTTCGCCCACGAGGTCAGAGGATGCTGAGTGTGCCGCGCCGCGCCGATTCTGGCCCACCACGCGTCGGCGCGACACGCTATCCATTTCCCAGTCCCGTAGCGTGCACGTGACCAGCTTTTCCCAGCCTTCCGCCCCGCGGAGCGGAGTGGCACGCTATCCGCTCGCAAGGCATAAGCGCCGCCGCCGCGACAACGCTGAGCAAAAGCTCCCGAGCGGAGAGGGAGGGACTCCCCCCCTTCGTCCTCTCTCAGGGCGGGGGGGACAGCGCTAAACGCGGCGAGCGATTCATGCTTCTTCCGCCGCGGCTGCAGCGGCTACGGAGCTACGGCGTTTCAGCTATTGTTGCCTGTTCTGATTCGCGCGATGTCGAGCATCGCGTCTGTGGCGATCTTGGGCGCGCGAACATGCACTATCACTGGCCAACTTATTGTGGACTCGCATTACTGCTACCCTTTCCTCTTCGCTTCTTCGGGCCTCCCAGGATGCCCCCGTCGCTACGGCTGGATTCGCTTAAGAACGCTCCCGGGGAGATGTCAGGGGAGTTGCGGCATCGGTACCCTTCGGTTTCCCCAGAGGGAGGGGGGGTCGCACAAGTTGTGTGTGTCCGCGCCGTTTCGGGGCTCTCGAGGCCCTTCCCTGGCTCCCCGGGCCGCCAGAAGAGGATCTCGTATTGAAGCGCCAGGGCCCGTTTCGACCAGGACCCCTTTTCTTTTCCAGCCCGTTCTGGCCTCCGCTCGCTGCCACCGTTTCCACCAGGACCCCCGACGAATCCCCCCGTGTCCATCCTCTCGTAACTACGAAGGAGAACGGGGGGAGGATGAGGAGGGAGGGGGGAGGGAGGGAGGGAGGGAGGGAGGGAGGACATGCCTGAAGGATGACATGCCCATAGGAAAAACGCCTGTGGGAGGACATGCCCGACCTGAGCCTGCAAGGCACAAGCGTGTCGTAGGGACCGCCGCTGCGACAGGCCCTAGGCATCCCAATCGACCTGGCCGTACAGTGGGGGCCCATGCCAAGAAGCACACTGCTCGCCTCCAGGGTGCCCTCGGGTTTCTTGGGTTTCGATGGTTCTGCTGTGGACGGCGTGACGCTCCCACACCAAAAATCAGTGGACGCCCTGGGGTCCCAGGGCTGGGTTTCTTGCGGAAGGTTTCTTGTGGTCGGGCCCCTACTGTATCGCGGAGGCCTGCCGCCGATCTGCATCGGCGATGCATCGCCGCCAGTTCCGGCGCTCGAGCTTAACCCCCGCCCCCCCCCGCCTCCCGAGCTGCTCTCCCCCCCCCCTCTCACGTCGCACCCCTCGGGAGCGAGCGCCCGGAGCCCCGCGCCCACGGCTCTGCCCTTCGGCGTGCTTTTCTGTCTCGCTGGGCTTCGTTGCTGCAGCGGCCCGCGACAGGCTCGGCCTGGCCGCGGCGCCCGGGGGCCGCTGGGCGGGACCCTCGCCTTGGCATCGCTCGGACGTGTGCATTTTTTTTCTCCTTCGGCGAGAACCATCGAGGAGCATCCTTGATCATTTGGCGAAAAAACCACGCACGAAACCGAAAAAAACACAGGGAATGGACGTCCGAGCGATGGCGAGTAGCCGGCACGCGGGCCCCGCCCGCCCCGCCGAGGTCCGCGGTGGCGGCGCCGGGCGAGCCGTGGCGGCGCGACGCGGGGCAGCGCGCCCAGAGACCCAGTGGTGAGCAGGCCGGCGCAGCGGAGACCAGGCGCCGTGCGTGTGAGTGTGTGTGTCAATCAGGAAGGAAAAAACACACAGACACAAGTACTCGTCGAGCCCCCAGAAAATATGCGAAAATATGGGGAGTGGGGGGGGGAGACAAGAACTCAGAAGATATGGGAAGATATGCGGATTATTTTTTAAATTTGTGTGTATCTAGTTGTGTGTCCTGGGGCCCCTTCAGTGAAGGCCGCTCCTCGCCGCCTTCTACCCATCCATCCTGCCACCCTTCACGGGCGAAGGAAGGAAGAAGGTCAAGTGCTTCGCTGTCGGGGGCGCCCGCCCCAGGGCGGCCGGCAGGCTTAGACCCTTAGGGTGGCACGTCAAGATTCGGGGGAAAACAAACCTACCTCGCTTTTGACCACCCTCGCTTCCAAGAGATTCCAAGCGATGCCAAACTACGGCACGTACTGGTCACGTCGCTTGACGAGGAGGCGCGTGGTATGACTTGGTTCTTCCTGGAAGCGAAAGCGGGGTAGATAATTCACGCTCTGATTCACGGGCGAAGGAAGGTATAAGGTCAAGTGTTTCGCTGTCGGGGGCGCCCGTCCCAGGGCGGCCGGCAGGCTTAGACCCTTAGGGTGGCACGTCGAGGTGTAAACTTTCCAGCCGCCCTGGGGCAGCGCCCCCGGTGACGGACAAGTTTATGTTCTGCCGTTCTTCGCCCGCTAGAATCCGCTCGGCTCAGGTGTTGGACAGCGTGCCCGGTGACGATCGGGCCGTGAGAGGGGAAAGGACGCTTCCACTCTCTCAGCTCATCCTCCACCAACGGATTCGACGGTAGGACCGACCTTTCGGTTCGTAACCTCCGTTCACAGGTTGGGGGTGGTGCACACCGACAGGCCGACCGACTCGCGGAGTGACGGGCGGACGACGCCGACGACGACGACGAAGGACATGACGAGTAAAACGACGACGACGATGGTGGCGACGACGACCACGATGGTGCTGATATTGTTGATGATGATGATGATGATGATGGTGGTGGTGATGGTGATGGTGATGGTGATGGTGATGATGATGATGATGATGCTGATGATGATGATGATGATGATCATGATGATGATGATGATGATGATGATGATGATGATGATGATGATGATGATGATGATGATGATGATCGTGGTGATCGTGGTGATGATATTGCTGCTGTTGCTGCTGCTGGTGATGATGGTGATGATGTTGATGATGATGATGATGGCCAGGAGCAGGAGCAGGACGAGGACAAGGAGGAGGATGAGTATGAGTACCAGTATGAGTACGAGTCTGAGTATGTGGATGGGGATGGGGATGGGAATGAGGATTATGAGGATGATGATAATGACGGTGATGATGATGATGATGATGGTGATGATGCTGGTGATGATTATGATTAGATCGCTGCTAATGGTGGTGTTGATGTTGCAGGTGTCGATGAGGATGATTGTGATGATGATGGTGATGACGATGATGATGGTGATGATCATGCTGGTGACGATGACGATGATGATGCTGATAATGATGATGAGGATGAGGAGGATGATGTTGATGACCTCTGATGACGATGGCGGTTGCCATGGTGATGCAGATGTTTATTATGATGAGGGTGATGATGTTGCTGTCGTTGATGATGTTGATGATGATAATGATGTTAATGGTGGTGATGATGATGGCGATGATGCTGATGATAATGTCATGATGCTGAGGACGATGATGATGATGCTGATGATGATGCTGATGCTGATGCTGATGCTGATGCTGATGCTGATGCTGATGATGGTGATGATGATGACGATGATGATGGTGGTGGTGGTGGTGATGTAGAAGGTGATGATTCGGCTGCTGCTGTGGATATTTTTTGGGGAGTCGGGGTTCAGGGAGAGAGGAGATTCGGGGCTACAGCACCAGAGCCCTCTGCCCGCTCGGTGAGCATCTTTTGCCGATGTGCACTCCGCGACCGTGCAAGTGCCGAAAGGGAGCTGGGCACCGCACTGCTCGCGTTCGACGGAGCGCGCTGGCGCCGAACTGCAATCCAGACTCACTCACCCTGGGCACAGGCCCAGATCAAGGCAACACAGCGGTGAGGCGAAGCCTTTGTAAAGACCATCACACCCGTGTAGACTATCTCAGGAGTCGTGTAGACTGTCACCTTGGAACACACGTACCAGATACTTAGACGATCTCAGAAATCGTGCATATTATCGCGTAGGAGCACACGTGCCAAGGAGCACACGTGCCAAGGATGATCCAGTAGACAATCTCAGGACTTATGCAGAGTGTCGCGCACGCGTGCCGAAATAACGGCCAGTAGACTATCTCAGGAATCGTGTAGGAAGTCGCGTAGGAGCACACGTACCAAAGGAAGAGCAAGTAGACCATCTCAGGAAGCATGCAGTCTGTCGCGTCGACGCGCGCGACCAGGAAAGTGCGTGGACAATCTCAGGAATCGTGCATTCGCGCGGCAGGTCGCTCTCGCTCTCGCGCCACTGAAGATGTCCCTCGAGCCGCGCGGTCCACCTCCGCAGCTCCTCCTTCGTCTATGTATGACCTGGCAGCGCACCGCCGCCAGGGTGCCCCGCTCCGATCTGGCGCAGGCCGCGTCGAGGGGGCCGTGCCTGCGTTCTCCGAGGTCCCAGACGGCCGTGGCCAGCGCCACTTCCGGCTGTCTCCGCGAGCCTGCACGCTCTGACCAGCTGCTCCGCGTCCTCCGCCTCCCCGCATGCGTGGGCGTCGTCCCTGAGCTGCACGCTGTGCTCCCGAACTCTGACCTCCCGCCGCTTGTGCGTCGGCAGCCACGTGACGTGGCGCTGCCTTCTAGTCCTCCGGATGATGCTTGCATCCCCTGCCGTCATAGTTTCCGTTGCTGGCGCGCGGCTTACAACAGCTCCTACTCGACATAGCCGCCCAGCCAGTCAACATCATCTGAAGTAGCTTCGTAAGACGTTATTTTCTTCATGCGCCTCTTCCGCGGGCCCGTGGGGGCCGACACGCCCCACAGAGCTCCGAAGTCATCCGCGTGTGTTGGGGCCCCGAGAGGCTGCCGGCCGGGTTTCTTCCCTTTCTGGGTTCGGTATTCGTCCACGCGCTGAGCGGACGCCCCCTGATCCTCCAATTTGTGGCTCTTGGGAAGACTGAGCGTGTCTCGGGCCGAACGACTAGGGAAAGGGGGGGTACGACATCTGCTGCATGCAGCTGGTGCCGGCCCCGCCGCCGGGCCCCTTCCTCGATGCACGGGCACCTCCCGGCGCCGGGAGGCGCTGGGAAAAGCAGCTACGTGATCTGAGTCTTTACCCTCCCCTTTGCTATCCCCCTCTTTCGCCTCCCCCGAGTGTCCAAGGTTGCGCCCTCCATCGGTTTGATCTTCTGAGCGCTGTTGAGAAGCATCTCGATGATCGACACGAGGAGCCCCCCGAGCCCCGAGCCCTTCGCTTGCAGGCTCTTCTCCGTCTCGTCGCCCTGGCTGCGTCCTTTGCCTCCGCGTCTCGTCCCCTGAGGAGACGGTGGCCCATGCTGCCTCTCACGTCCGGGTATAGCCAGGACCCCAGGTAAGGGGACCCAGTTAGTAGTAAGGCCCCAGAGCCTTTAAATTTGCCAAAATCACAAAACCTGGTCTGCCGTAGCTGGTCTTTTTTCGGGTGGCGGCAGTTCCGTTTAGTGGGACGGAGCGGCGGGGGCCTCCCCCAATGCACATCACGCAACCAGGTCCCACTAAACCTAGTTCTGCCAACGCCCGACCTGCTGCTGCCTCTCTCGTCCTTCCCTGCCCTGCCCCAGGGAAGGATCCCTGCAGGGGGCGCCAGTTCGCTCTCATTGCTCGGCGCCGCTGGGCCGAACACCTCAGCTCGGGGTCTCGGTACTCTCGGAGACTCTCGCCGCTGTAGAGGGGGAGCTGGCACGAGTGAGCTTCGGGCGAGAAACAGTCGACCGCAATTCAGGAGTAGTCTAAGACACCGCTGATGGGTGAACGGGAACATGCGTAATCAGGTGTCGCTTCAATTCCTCGCTTGAGCCAAAAGCCAACGGACAGGTGGTAGCAGAAGATGCTGGTGCTGCTTGCTACTCAGGTATCGCATTCGTTTCTGTTCCCAACCATCCTGTGGTGTTGGGTCCTCGTTTTGAAGGGACACCGCCCCGCGTTCTCCTCGCTTCCTCCTCTCTCCCAACTCCTCTTCCTCCTCTTCCTCCTCCTCCTCTTCCTCCTCCTCCTCCGCCTCCTCCTCCTCCTCCTCCTCCTCCTCCTCCCCGCCCCCATGCCCGCGCACCCCTCACACGCTTCGTGGCCCCATAGGGAGTTCCACCGGGAACCCCAGTGGGAGAGCGCGCATGGCACCGCCGCCCCAGTTCGGCACACCCCTCACACGTTTCGTGGCTCCATAGGGAGCTTCACGGAAGGCCCCACTGGCGACGTTCGCATGAGTCCGCCCGACTCAGGCCGGCACACCTTTTCACACGTGCCGTGGCACAAGGTTATACCGCGTGTGTTACTCTGCGTTTGCGCGCCCCTTCCTTCGTCTCATCTCCTTCGCGGTACTCGCAGCTGCATGTGGCTGGGTTTGTCGTCAGGCTAATGTTTGCTCCTCACCGCCGTGTAGGAGGGCTCCATTTAGCTCTAGATGTGAGTCGGGCGTGTCCCTCTGCAGGAGGAGCATTCGAAAATAGCCAAACAATAATATGGGGACAATTGTTCTACCATGTTTGTCTATTTTGGTTTACTTTTTGACTATTTTTGATTTCTCGTTCAAAATCCGCCCGTATGGGGGGCATGCCCGACCTAGCTCTAGATAGGGCAACCTGCGGGCTCATCATATTCGTACTGGCTGATAGACTCGCTGCTCGTCGTGATTGCTGCTCTAACAGTAGGTGCTGCTGAGGATGCTCGGCTTCGTGCTTTGCTGTTGTAGTTGCTCCGCTGCTCGTCGCTAGGGTTCCTCCCAAGATCGACGACGATGGAGGTGATTTGCTTGCTCATCGTATTCGTACTGACCGTTCGTGACTCGCTGCTCGTCGTGA